TGTAAATAGGGAAGGGTGGAGGGGGTGAAGGGAGGGCTAGGAATGGGGAAAAAATAAGAACTAAGATGCATTATGTAAAGGTACAATTCCCAATGGAAATGTAATTGTGTTGTATACCTACAATGTACCAACAAGTTTAAGCCCAACCCGGGCAACTTAGACCTTTCCTCAAAATATTAAAAAAAAAATTTGTTTTAAGAAAAGGATTAGGGATGTAACTCAGCGCAGACCACAGAGGCCTTGGACCCAGTCCCCAGTACCCCCCCCAAACACACACACACACACACACACACACACACACGCACACTGTGAAGAAGATGAGGAAGAGGAGGCCAGGGGAGGCAGGGAAAAAGGCACGGAAGTCCCCAGCCTCCGGTGTCCATCGGGAGCTTTGGGAACTGTCCTGAGCGATGTGCTTCCCGTGCTGTGGGTACAGCCCGAGCACGGGATGGGTGTAACGGCGACTCGAATGCGTGGCTGCGCTTGGGAGCCACGGACAGGCAGCACTTCCGGTGGGAGCCGGGCCGCGCTCTGCTTGTGGCCACCAGCGTCCCAGGGCTGAAGGACCGGGCAGCTCCGACGCGGCCCCGCCTTCCTTCCACACAGGGAGCCCCCACGGGACAGCTGACCGGACCCCTGGCTCCGGAGTGCTGGAGGCTCGGCCTGCTGCTTCTCTGTGTGAAGCTGTCGGACCTCTGTTCACCCAGCCTCGCAGGACCTCACACAAGCCAAGCGGGTGACTGTCACTGTGCCCTGGTGGCTTAGAGAGGTCTGGCCTCATACACTCGGGTGGCTGATGTTCCCTCTGCCTTCCAGGCTGCCCCTGCTGCCAGCCTCACACCAGCTGCCTGTGGGTTGCCTTTATGGACCGCGTGCATTCCTCCAGAGCAGCTCCGTCCCAGCAGAATAAATATTCTGTGGTGACAGAAATGCCCTCTGCCACCAGGTGTGGTGGTGCACACCTGAAACCCAACATTCTGAGACAAAAATGAAAATCCCACCATCCTGGGAAGCTGTGGCAGGACAAATGCAAATTCCAGCCCAGCCTGGAAACTTAGCAAGACTTTGTCTCAAAATTTTAAAAGGGGCTGAGGGGCTCTGGGTTCAATCCCCTGTCCCTCAGGAAGGAAGGAAGGAAGGAAGGAAGGAAGGAAGGAAGGAAGGAAGGAAGGAAGGAAGGAAGGAAAGAAGGAAAGGAGGGAGGGAGGAAGGAAGGGAGGGAGGGAGGAAGGAAGGAATCTTCCATCTCTGCTTTCGGACTCACTAGCCACATGCAGCTGTTCAGCACTGAAATGCAGCTAATATGGTGAAGGAACTAAAGTCTTTGTTTTATTTAATTTTAATAAATTTAAATAGCCACACTGAGCGACACAGCTCTAGAGAGAGTCCAGAGAATAAGGAGAATCTGGAAAATGGCCGCAACGGTTTCTAAGCACAAATCCCAGTGGACCTGCATCTCCCTCACAGGGGCCTTCTCAGCTCTTCCCCAGCAGAGGGCTGGTGAGAAACAACGCCAGTGATGCCCCAGACCGACGGGCCACAGGAGCAAGGGTGTCGCTGAGCAGCGCTCCTCAGCCGAGCCGCGGTGCACACACTGATCAAACTTGCGGTCCTCCTGCCTCAGCCTCCCGGAGTGCTGGGGTCCCAGGCCTTGGCTACCACATCAGGCTGGTGACACTTTCGAGGCAGTGGGAGGCTGACTGGAAGGTGCTATTGGTGCCTGATGGGTCGAGCCAGGGATGCTACTAAACACCGCGCCGTGCACAGGACAGCTCCAGCAGAGCAGGGCCCTCCAGAGCTGTCAGCGGCGCGAGTCTGAGAGCCCAGCCCAACAGCCTGGTCTGCTGTCCGGGAAAAGGGGCTCGACGGCAACGATGGGTGAGTCTTCTTCTCCGCAAAGTCTTGACGGCTGTTTTCTCTCCCGCTCTTCTCTCCCTTCTGTGCAGGAGCTAATGCCTCCGCCCCCGACCAGCTGAGCTTAGCCTTGGCCTGGAACAGAGTCGACATCGCTCGCAGCCAGATCTTTATTTACGGGCAACAGTGGCCGGTAGAGTATATGTCATCACCCCTGAACAGCCCACTTGCTCGGGCAAGGGTGTTTGTTTCAGGAGCCTTTAGAGTGGCTCGGGAAAGTACTTCCTACCTTTTGTTGGGGATGAAAAAAAATCTTCCTTTGTATATAGGACAGTTCCGAGCCTAGGAGCCGCTTCTCATACTTGGGGAAATGCTGCCACCTGGTGGACATTATAATTAAGTACAACTCCAAATAACCATTTCCGTCTCCGCTAGTGGCTTTTACAGTCATTTTCAGCTGCAAATATCTTTTAGCGTGTCTTTAAAAGTACATATAATACAAAGTTATATAAATTAAAATTGATGAAGGAGTTAAATTTGTTTCTGATTGTCTGCAAAATGAAGAGGTTGCTACTTCCAAGAGGCGGCCGTGCAGGTGTGCGGCTGAGTCGAGCCTCAGCATGCAGAATTAGCAGCTCCGGATGCAGGCGCCATCTGGTCCTGGGGGCTGGGCACAGGTCCTCCCTTTCCCAACGCGAGGGATCCATTTTTACATAACTGGTCTTGGTTTGTTTCCCTTGATGGACTCTACCAAAAATAAAAACTTGGGAAATTGGCCATTGGGTTGTATAGGCATGCAAATACCAGAGGTCAACTCTGGCCTGGAATTTGATTTCTGGGCCTGGAACCACACCGGGAACAGACAGGCCTTTCTGAACTCTTCCTTCCCCCTGGGGACTCCTGGCTGCTGTAAAGCACCTGTCTTGGTACTACCAGTTATTTGTTTTTCTTTTAAGATAAAAGGTATTAATGTATGAGTTGTTTTCTTCTAAACTAAAACCTCAGTATTCAGGTTTCATTGCTGTTGACACTTTGCTATAAATAAGTGGCTTTTGGGTTGCAGTTTGGGCACTCAGTCTCTAAAAGGTTCGCCATCACTGATGTAGGTCCTTTGGTACCCACCTGGCATTGCACTGGCACTGAAGAAGTTTGACCAGAGAACTGCAAGGGAAGAAGCCTTATAACCTCTTGCAACTTTCTCAGAGTCCAAAAGAAAGAAAGCGATTCCAGAAAGAAATGGGTTTTGGACCTGGAAATCCTTCACTTCCATTTCCAAAGACAGACCCCCAAACGCAGGAGGGAGTGTGGCTGTCCCGACTGTAGCAGTGAGCAGTCTGGTTGGGGTATCCCTGGATAAGCCAAGGGGTCCCCGGGGATCAGGCTTCCATTCTGAGCTGTCTGGGTGGATGCTGAGGGCCTGCACCCCCAGACCCTGGGGCAGACTAACTCAAGACTTGGTTCGCAGGTGGGGTCTCTGGAGCAAGCCATGTTGGATGCCCTAGTCTTGGACAGAGTGGATTTTGTGAAATTACTCATAGAGAATGGAGTAAGCATGCACCGTTTTCTCACCATCTCCAGACTAGAGGAATTGTACAATACGGTAGGGCCAAGCTAAGGCAGCTTTTATTTCCTCTATTTGGTTGCTTTTGTGGCTGTTGTTTTGTTTACCTTCCCCCCTCACATGCCTGTGATTCTTTTCCTGTCTCCCCTGAAAACGCATGGATCCTGCCTCACACGTGCTCCCCTAGACCTGTGTAGACATCAGACACTGACTCACAGAGGTTCCACTTGTTCTAACTGCTCAGGTGTCAGCCTTGACCTCCGAAGTTACATGATCTCCTAGCAGCACTGTTCCTGGGTTTTCACACAAAATCACAGGCTCTGGAAATAGGAACATGGTTTATTCTGTGAGCCCAGGGGATGTTGGGGGCAATTGACAGGGAGGGTGGATTTATCGCCAGCATCAAAGGAGGCCAGGTGAACATTCTGCACCATTCTGTTACCTCAGAGCTCCTAGTTTGATTCTTTTCCCACCATAGTAAAATGTAAAGTGCCTCTTGTTTGGAGTTACGCCAAAAAAAAGAAAAAAAGTGTCTTTGTTTTGTTTAGAGCTGACCACTGCCTAGGGCCAGCAAAACGTAAAGAGCAGATACTGTGTCCCAGCCTTTAGCAGATGAGAAATTGAAACTGTTCGGTTTGTTTGGGCTGTTATCATGCAATACCCGAGGGATGGCTCGTGGGGAAGGGCAGGTACTTCTTGCACACAGTTCTGGAGGACAGGAGGCCAAAGATCCAACCGCAGGCAGGTTCAGCATCTGGTGTGAGCCACTCTGTAGTTCTGGGATAGCACCTTGTGGTCACATCCCCTGCAGGGGACAAGCAGTGTGTGCCCAGGCAGAAGGAGGGACGCGTCCAAAAGGCCCAGAGCTATGTGAAGTGCCTCTGTCGCTGTCTCTCTCTGTCCCCCACCCTTTTTTATTTTTCAACACTGAGAATTGAATCCAGGGCCTTTGCACAGAGCTACATCGCCAGGCCTTTTTTATTTCTTATCTTGATAAACATAAAACTCACTAAATTTCCCAGGCAGGCCTTGCCTGGGCAATCCTCCTGCCTCAGCCCACCCAGCCATGCACCCTCTTCTTTTGCGGCTTCAATTCCATTTTCAAGACAGGAGCCCTCCTACCCTCGCGCCTCCCTTGGGTTCCACCTCTTCATACCCATGCGCTGGAGACAAAGCTCCACATGAATTTGGTGGATGCCCAAACACTCAGACTACGTAGCAGAGACCAAGAAGTGATTTATTCAAGGTCACAAAACCCCTAGTAGAGAAAGAAGCTAGTGCTCGACCTAAGCTTCAGTCTCAGAGATCATTTTCCACTCGCCCAACACAGTGGCTCTGTCCCACAGCCCACAGTGCAAACGGCACAGAGCGTGTGACCTGTCCCTCACCGATACTGGGCGTCGGATGGTGCCAGCCTGGCCCCAGCTCACTCTCGCTGCAAGAAGTAAATAGGTCAGTTGAGTGGATCGAGGTTTTTGTTGACTCTGAAAAATTTTGGAGGGGCTCAGGGAGCCTGGGGATCCAACCCAGGGATCTTCTGTATTTGATTCTTCACTGAACTATACCCCCAGCCCTTTCTGGTTTTTATTTCCAGACAGTGCCTCACTAAATTGCCCAGGCTGGCTTTGAGCTTGCAACCCTCCTGACTCAGCCCCCTGAGGACCTGAGATTACAGGCATGCACCACCATACCCAGTTTCTGCAGACTCTTCTAGGTTCAACACACTAAGGTTACAGGAATGGCCCTTCCAACTAGAAACAAATAAATAAGAGCAGCAGGGCTTACATTTCAGGAAACTAAGGAAATAGATTCATCCCAAAGATTGGCAAGAAAAGGAAGAAACAGAAAAGTTCTAGACTTCAAAATCCTGGCACTGTCTGAAAATAAAATAGTAGTTATGCTGCATTATTTTGAGGATAATGACAAGAAAATACCTGTGTCTGTTCAGTACAGGTGCAGTTGGTAGAATTTGGGGACACAGAATTCATGGGTAGGGAGGGCCCAGTGCACATGCAAATACTGCAATGGGGCCTACTTAGGTTACAAATCGCTGGTTGCTTAGCTGAGATTCGAATTTAATTGGGCATCCTGTATTTTATCTAGCAGTCCTACTCCAGAAAGACAACAGAACAGCAATTCATTTCCTTTTGTTCTTACCTCAAGCCCACACACATCTTTCTCCCAAGGCTTTTGCCCAAATGACTTGTAACTTTTTCTTTAAACCAGGTTTCAGCAAACTATCACCCACAGCCTAAATCCAGCCCACAGCCTCTCTCTGTACCATCTTCAAGCTAAAAATAGCTTTTTTGCTGTTTTTTAATTATTGAAATAATCAAAAGAAGGGCATTCTATGACATCAAAATTACATGAAATTTAATTTCCAGTCTCTCTGAATAAAGTTTTATTGAAACATAGCCAAACTCACTTGTTTACATAAACTATCTGGCAGGGCTGGGGGTGTAGCTCAGTGGTACAGAGCTTGCTTGGCATGCACAAGACCTGGCTTCTATCCTCAGTACCGGAAAGAAGGGAAAAAAACTAAAAAATCAAAACAAAACAAAACAAATCTATGGCTACTTTCACAGTACAATGGCATTTAAACAGATGGGATAAAACTGTAAAGTCCATTCAGCCTAAAGTATTTTCTATCTGTCCTTTCAGAGAAAGAGTTAGCCAAGTCCTTTCTTGAGACAATTTCTCATTGATTATGGGAAATAAAGAGGTTGCAATGACAAGGTGCCGAAGGGTTTTTCCACTGGGTAAATTGGTCCCTCTTTCTCCCTGCTGCTAAACGACCTCCTTCAATAACACATTTTGGGCCCAGCTGTCAACCAAACTGACAAGCTCCCTCACGAAGTTGGAACCATCACCCTCAAACATATTTTCTTGATGAAATACAATCCAGAATTCTGCCAGCGTGTTTGCTGAGAAAAGACAGAAACAACTGAGCAACTAGAACAAGGTGCCTCGTGACGAACTGTCCCCACCAGCCAGAAACCATCCTTCCAGATCCTTCCCACCTTGACGGGGAGAGCCCCTGACTAGCAAAACTGGTTGATTCTTCTTTATTGTTTTCAGAGACACGGGCCCTCAAACACATTGTACCACTTGGTCAGGGACGTCAAAAAGGTAAGAAACCTCTGGCCCATGCGTCAGAGGCCCCGTCTGGCCTGCTTGGCTCGCCGTGATTAGAAAGCACCTGTTTTGCATGAGCTGCGGAGCGTCCCTGTCCCTGCTGGCCTCTGTCTTCTAACTCAACACCACTGCTTCCAATGCAGCTGCTGTTTTACCTCCCGTCCCGTGGTTTCGATGCTTTCGTTGGACAGTTCTAACTCGTCTAACCATGGAGCTTGCGCTTTCCCCCTGCTGTGTGGATTTATGCCGGTGCCTGGACTTTTCCGCTGCCCCTCACTGGCTGGGGCTTGTTCCCTCTCTCTCACTCACCACAGAAGGTCTCCTCTGCTAGCTCCTGGGCCAGTGCTGTGAGAGCAGCCCCAAGGCTCACAGAAACAGGGCCTAAGACACACACACATCCCCCTCTCCTAATGCTCTATTCTTTCCAGAATGGTTTCTTCACTCTTCTCATCTCATTTGATTAAAAAACAAAGCTGCAGAATCGTGTAGATTTATTCATGTTTTACAGATGGGGAGGCTGAAATACAAGAAGGTGAGAACTCTATTAGACAGTGCAGGGCTAGGTTAGGGCTCAGACCCATGAGTTAACAGCAAAATAAGAACAGCTGTGATTTAGTAATGAGGAGGTGCACAGTGCTGAAATAAGCCTTCTATGCATCTTAACTCATTCACTTTTCACAACAATTTTCCGAAGCAGGATTATGTTACTACCAGCAGGTAGGCAGTGTGTCTGTCTCGAGATGAGAAGGACGGAGCATAGGAAGGTCATGTTTTATCTTAGCCACGGGGTTTCTCTTGTGCCCCACACAGTCTCTTTCAAGGGTGGCTTGGGTTCTGAGCCTTTCACTCCAAAGGGCCTCGTATACACATGCATGTGCATGCACACACACACACAGAGTCAACAGTTGGTAGCGATTCAACAGAGTCCACAGGACATACTTAGAGAACGCTACAAAGTACCCCAAAACAAAGTATAATTTCTCATCTTACAGGAAATCATTGCATAGAATTGACCTCAGGTACCCTATAATAATTTTTCAATTTTTTCTTCAAAAAGTCAAGCAAAGGCCCTGGGACTGCTTATAATTTACCTATTTTAATCTGTTGGACTTTGGATAGCATTTACTAAAGGATTTTTTTAATTCCTTTTTTTTCCCCCTTGCAAACTTCCTCCCATCTCCATATGACCTTAACAAAGGTTTGGTTTTTTTCTTTTTTCTTTTTTCCTAAACCTGTGTGATAGCAAAGCCTGCAGTCCTTTCAGAGCCAGGGGTGCAGGGGCTGTGCAAGCTGCACCCCACCTCGACCACCACGCCACCAAGATCGCAGCCTTCCTTGCCCTGCCCCGTTCCCAGCAGCCATTTCTCTTTCCTTCAGGCCTTCCAGTTTTGTTTAATCCTGGCTTAAAACTCCTGGAAACTGAACTCAGAAGATTAGGAGAGCACACGTCCAATGTGCATTCTTCGCCAAGCCATTTGTTGTTCACATCCGATAAAATGTCTCGACTTTTTCTAAAATAATAAGGCAGCCCCTCCTCCCTTCGGCTCGGCGCGTCTGGCTGTTCCGTCCCAGCCTCGGAACAGCCCGGGTTCCCATAGAGTTCGCTCACCGGCTCCAAACACTCGCTCCAGGGAGTGGTCTCACCAGATTTTCAAGGGGATCTTTGCGTTTAGAGCTCATGGAGTACAAAATCCCTCTTATTAGCCTCTCTTCCCCCAAAGGAATCTGCTTTGCAAGATCATTTTCTCTTTTCTCAAATGCGTCTACATTTGCCCACATCAATTGTATTATTGGAAGGCATGTAGAGCATCCTTAGGGTAGGCATTTCCCCCCCTTTTTCAAAGATTCTTAGCTAAAAACATATTTCACACATAAATAGACTAACAAGAAATTACAGGGTGGTCAAGAACTAGGAAGGAAAGAGTATTAGCTAAGAGGAGAAATTTTTTCTTTTCCGTGAAATCCAAATACTAGAGCAAAAAAAAAAAATAGTGACATAAGCATTCATTTACTTACTAATTTAGAACCTAGGAAAGAACAGAACTGAGCTGGCCTAGGAACAATTTATTGTTTTACCTGAGAAAAGAGACTGTTGATCCGGTGGTGGGAAGTGAAAGCCTATGTTTCCTTTCTTCCCCTGAAGAGGCAGGGGCTGGAAATGCCGCTCCAGTTGTCTCTATGATAAAGGTGTGTTTGGGGCAATCAGAGAGCAAGAGATTATCCTGTAGTCAGAGGAGCCGGAAGCGCCTGCAGTTTGTGTTATATGAATGAGGGGAGCTTGAATATGAGGCTTTTTGTTTTCTTTCTTTCCTTCCTTCCTTCCTTCCTTCCTTCCTTTCTTTCTTTCTTTCTTTCTTTCTTTCTCTTTCTGGTACCAGGGATTGAACTCAAGACCTGTGCTTTCCAGGCAGGCGCAGTGCCACTGAGCTAAATCCCTGGCCCTTGTTTTGTACTTTTTAAAGCAAATGAGAGAGAAATTAACATCATGGCACAACATTTTCACATGGTTCCAGATGACTTCCAGCAATTTGGGTCAATAAGATATTCAGAGCCTGTGCTAAGAAAGTCTTGGAAACTTTAAAGCATTCACATGTAAGGAACATAATAAGTAATATGTGCTATCTTCTTTATAGTTGTAGGGAAATACATATATACATTTAATCTGTGAAAAATTAACCAGTAAGTTATAAACTCTGGCACAAACTGCTGTTCACGACTGAGAAACACAGGTCCAGATCTAATAGAAAGTTTGATAGCATGTCTGGAAAACTGATAGAAAATACCTCCCATGGGCCCAGGGAGTACATTCGGGCATTATCTGATCATCATAACCTCAAATCAGCAAGCAGGACACATCCAAGACCAACTGTTCTTTGAAACCACAGAACTGAATGGCTCCCACGCTAGTTTCAACATCTTACATTATTTATATCAAGGGAGCAGTCGGCCTAGGACCAAAGAGGCAGAGTTGCTATTCAGCATCAATCAGAAATTTGAATTGATATAAGCCAATCCAACTCCTTCAACTGTTTTCATGCATAAATCCATTGAATGTACTAATGTTTTCATATTAAACCAGAGCGGCCCAAGTCTGTCTGCTTTCTGTGGAATATAACCCGCTATTTTAGTAGCTGTCTGTCAATTGTGCCTCTGTATGTTTTAAAGTAGTAGTTTTGCTTTCCTAAGATTAAATGTGCCAATACTTCAGATTCCCTGGCCTATACTATCCCTCCCCCATCAAAGACAGATGCTATGTGAGTATCATAGAGAAGCAGTGGTGAAATTATGAGTAATTTAAAATTCATTTGAGGGGGAGCTAGGACCCAGAGCTTTGCCGAACGCAAGAGAGAGAAGGAAAAAACTAGGTATATCTGACAGTTTGAGAAAGGAGACAATTTCATAAATTCATCTGCTAAACTTACGCAAGTTTGCAAAAGTCTTATAATTTTTTGAAAGACTGATTGTCTGGTCTCTTACCTTGATAATCTACTGACCACTGGCATAATGTCCTCTCTTTTTTGTTTTTGCTTTTTTGGGGTTTTTTGGTACCAGGAATCGAACTTAGGACCTCATGCTTGCCAGGCAGGTGCTGTGCTGCTGAGCTAAACCCCCAGCCCCATAATGTCCCCTTTTTCCCTGAGCTTCACCAGACTAAGCCCCCCTGGTGACTGCTCGTGCCACCCCAGCTGACTTTTCCTTATTATAAAAACTGCCCCAGGATAGCCTTTTCCTCACTTTCCCTTTTCACACATCAGAAGGCTTGTTTTGAAGGCTTGTTATCAGTATTTTTTTTTAAGTTTCTCAACAGTAGAAATCTGATAATAATATCATGACATCTGCAAAGCAGTTCATTTTGAAGAGCAGATGGAATAAGTGAATTGGAACTATTCTTTACAAAATCCTTAAGCGTGGCAGGGATTAAACCTTACCTTCAGAGTACTCATTCAGAGCATAATAAAAAAGACAACAGTTTCAGGTCGATGGCCTGTACCCTCATGTAGACCCGAGCCTCTTTTTCAAGTTACTTGAATCACATGGCCTAACACATGTCATTTAGGCAGGAAACGGGAAATGCAATCATTGTCCAGGCTTTGCCAATTGCCAATTTAAAGACCCAAAGGGTGGGGAAGGGTAACAAAAGGCAGGCAGAACGAGTGTTACTCCAGCATCGGTTTCTGACTTCCAATTTGAAAACAGCCCCAGTATATGAAGACTCTTCCAGAAGGTGTTGGACATTACCTGTTTGTCTGTAGGCCCTGTTCACCTTCTCCTGAGGAGGTGGATGTAGTGAGCACACCCCATCCCTGATTGTGCCTTTACCACCCCTTGCTCAGCGCCCCCACTTCCCCTAGCCAAGGTCCAGGGGACAACTGGAGGCTTCATCAATCCTAGAAGCTGTGCATAGGGGCATTGCCCAGTGAGAACAGCTGCCATGTACTAATCACACAAGAGGGGGAAGGTCCCCTCTGCCCAGCAGTGGCCGCCCTAGGAAAAGCAATGCAAACATCCGCAGGTCACAGGTGGTCAAGGCCATCGGCCCTGCACCTCCTCATGCACCAGTGCTGCCGTCCCCTTCAGAGTCCACCAGGACACAGTTATCCCAAGAGGCCTCAATTGTATCAGTTGTATTCATTTTATGAAATCCGTGTCGCCCTCTGCTCAAAAAAGTTTCCACTCTTCCTATTAAAAAATAGCTGATTTCTCCTCATTTCTCTGGTCCCAAATGTCTCTGGAAAGAAACAGCTCCAATCAGCCTTTCCGACAGTTGGGACGCATTAGTTGTAGAATAAACTTTCCCTCCCTCCCAACACACCTTTCTCTCTTAACCTCCAACCCTTCCACGGCTCTGGAGCCCTGTTGGCTCAGGTAAGCATCGCCCTCTGGTGGTCAAACAGAATTCAAGCCACTTCCTGTTGCCATTACTCAAAGCCCTGCAGAAGGAATCAGTAAGGGAATCCTTCTTCCTGCTAAGATCTGACCACACATAAATCATTTGAAAATAATCCATCTTATATAAGAATATTCTAGCACCTTCCTTTCCAGCATATCCCCTTAATACCCCTTTATGAATAAAATCATTCTGTAAAAATGTTTTATTTGCTCTTAAATTTTTACTTACCGTGAATTTTACTATTATCACTTTCCTGACACTTCCTCTTACAGACACCTCAAACATCAATATTGCCATTCAGAATGGATGGATCTTGAGACAAAAATGTCAAGTGAAATAAGTCAGATACTTAAGCTTAAATATCACGTTTTCTCTTAAACGAGAAGCCCAAAGTATAAATAATTTAAAGAGAAAAATACAAGCTAGATAATAGGAAACATGCTGGGCACGGTGGTGCACACCTATAATCCCAGAACTCTGGAAGCTGAGGCAGGAGAATGGTCATGAGTTCGAGGGACAACGTGAACTACTTAGCAAGATCTGTTTCTTAAAAAGCCAAAATTCATAACAACAACAATAATGATAGTAATAACAATAATAGGGCCCAGGGATTTAGCTCAGTGGTTCCGGCGCCTGCCTCACAAGCGTAAGGTCCAGAGTTCGATCCCCGGCACACACACACAAAAAAACAATAATAGGAAACAAGGAGATAGATCTTTTGCAAATGAGAAGCCAACCTAAGTAATGGAGGAGGGAGAGGAAAGGAGAAAAAGGAAGTAAAAAGATTTAAGATGTGTTTTGTACATGTACCAACTACCCAGGATAAATGTTCTTCAAACATGTATTAATAAATGTTTTAAAATAAAAAATATTGTGGGCCGAGGATTTAGCTCAGTGGTTCTGCCACCTGCCTCACAAGTGCAAGGATTCGAGTTCAATCCCAGGTACCAAAATAAATAAATAAATAATATTACAAGGTTTTTAATGCCATTCAGTATTGGTCATTGGGCAATATTGGTATCTTGTTCTTAAAACTCAAACTAATGCTCATACCTCAGTTTCTCAAAACAAAATAAATAGGCATTAGGCTATTAGCCAGGCTTTAAATGTAGAAAAGTTTTACATTAAAAGTAGGAGGGCTAAGGGAGTAGCTCAGTGATAGGGAAGGCACTTCCCTAGCATGGGCAAGGACCCTAGGTTTCATCCCCAGCACCCCCCCAAAAAAACAGATAAAAATAAAAGTAGGCGCAAGGTCACAGACTTGCTCAGACTGGCTGGTGAAAGCATTAGAATACATCCTTTGAGGATTTTCCTAACCTGGTACTTGAGCACCACAGAACCTATAGGTCATGGGGTTCTGCCCCCTTTTACAGCAAAAAGGCCCTGCAGAAAAAGGCTGCTTTACAAACAGCAGCGAGGAGCCCAAGGCAGCTGACAGAAGCCGGGGCCCTTAATCCAGCCTGTCCCTCGATGCCAAGGAAAATACAACAAGCGGGGCAGGCGCACTCCGAGGGTTTCCTCCAGGAGCCAGTGTGTGTGACAGGAGGCTGACCCACCAGGTGCTGTCTCCTGGGCTCTCCTGCTCTCACCTAAGGTCCAGTACAGCTGGAAGTTACTGAAACTTGCCCTGCTGACCTGCCCTCAACAAGGAAGAAAAGTGGTTACACAAGTAACTGTCCTTAAAGTTCAGTTCAATTTTTATGAGAAGTTACTCTCTTAAAATTTTCTGCATTCCCTCTTTAATATTTTTGGCTGTACTTTGCACACCAAACTCAGACAACTGATCCTCATTAACAGCCTGAAGATGGCTTAACGTGCTGAGTCAGATTGATACAATAATCTTCAAACAAAGGAGATTTTGAAATTCTGAGGAGGGTATAAGGATAGCACAGACCCTTTTTGGAAGGGGCAATTCAGTTAAAGAGAAGGATCTCAGACTGAGCCGTGTCTTAGCCACTGCCCTCATCCCCAAGACACAATGGCCAACAGTGCAACTTAAAAGAGGAACGGTTTCTTTTGGCTCACGTTTCAGTCCACAGTCCTGGCGCCGAGGCAGCTTTTCCCGGCAGAGGGGCATGGTGGTTTGGAGCTGCTCACAGCATGGCAGACAGGAAGCAGAAAGAATGAAAGGAGGAACAGGAAGGGAGATATACCCTTCCGGGTCACTCCCGCCAATCCGCCTCTTCCATGCAGGCCCCACTTCCTGTCATTTAGCCATAAGCCTCCCTCATCTGAGCACCTTTCAAAAGCCCTGCCTATGAGCACATGAGGCTTTGGGGGACATCTAGACATAAACCTAACATAAGGGGAATGTCAAGGATGAGAGGTCTGTGTCTCCAAGGGCTCCTGCTTCCTGTGGGATGCCCTTCACACCGTCCCCTTTTGCCCCTTGTGTCCTAAACCACAGGGGCAGCAGAACCCAGGGGGTAAACCCGCTGTTCACTCTGGGGAGAGCAGACACCTAGGAAACAGCGGTGGAATCACAGACACACAAACACACACACACACAGACACACACACACACACACACAAACACGGGATGTAGTGTATCCAAGGTTATCCCTTCATGCCCACCCCTGCAATGTCATGGAATTCCAGATACAGTGATCCATGTATTTCAAATCAAATTTCATCAGTGAATTAGGGTACCCCTTTTTTTTTTTTCTTTTTGGTACCGGGGATGGAACTCAGTCACTTGCCAGGCAGGTGAGATGCCACTGAGCTAAATCTCCAGCCCTGGCTACTTAGTTCTTTTACTGGGAACATAATACTAAAAAGGCCATGCTCAGACTTGATTCCACTATGTTGATCACCTTCACTATTTCACCTTTTCAACAATAACAACAACAAAACCATCCTCTGTGCCTGCATTACCCCACTACATATAAAAGGCACAAATAATACAAAGATACAAATACAAGGGCCGGGATTTAGCTCAGTGGTTTTGCCTCCTGCTGTGCAAGCACAAGGACCTGAGTTCGTTCCCTGGTACCAAAAAAAAAAAAAAAAAGATACAAATACAGCTCTGCTGGGCCTGATGGCACACACATGTGATGCCAGCCCTTGGAAGGCAGAGACAGGACCATCTGAAATTCAAGCCAACCTAGGCAACATATGGAGTTCAAGCCCAGCCTGGGCCACATAGAGGGACCCCATCTCAAAAAATGCAAATAAAAATCTCAAGAAAACCCTGAGGCTATACATGATAGGCTGCAGTGGGCCGGCCCTAACCCTGAATCCTAAACCTTTCTAATGGATGTGGTTGATCATTGGAAAGCTGAGCGAGGAAAACAGAAAATCTGCCTTCAGCTCAGCAAAAGAATGAGGTGAGCGTGTCCCAGTGACAGAGATTCCTATTTTATACTCTGCATGTGCAGGTTGTGCTGCCCAGGCTGCCACTGCCACCTGAGACTGAGCACAGCCAGTTTCACAAGGTTTCCTGTGTATCAGAACTACCCAGAGGAGCTAAGAAGGAACAGAGGCCTGATACACTGAAGTAGATCGGGCAAGGTCAAGGACTTGATACAGCCACCGAGGTCCCCCAGTGACTCCCAGGCCACCAAAGTTGGAAGGCCACCAGACAGATTAGCAGCCTTTTCTGTGAAGGGAGAGAATCTCACACAGCAGCCGGTGTGGTTCTCTGAGGTGGACAAAGAGCACCAAGGCCTTCTGCCTCTCTGAACTCTCAGGGCTCTGCACCAAGGCCAGAGCCTGGCATTCCAAGCACAGAAAGTTCCCCTGCAGGAAGTAACCTGGCCAGACACTGAACGCCCTGTGCACTCCAAATTTCCCACAAACATAATCCCCTCTTCCTTGCCCTGACAGAGCAAGGTTTTTCCTGAGATCCTGAAAAGATCCTCTTCAAACTAGGAGTAGGTAATGAATACGTTCCTATTTTTTGCATCTAAAAGATAACAGCAAGCAGCTAAAAGATACACTATGCACAAGGACCTAATCCCCACCCAAAAGAATAAATAAAAACCAAAAGCTACACCATAATGCTCTCGGTCTTTAAGAAGTGCTACACTCAAGGTGAAAAATCTTCTTAATTCTGGGAAAATATTTCATTGAGGGCCGGGGATTTAGCTCAGTGGTGCTGCTGCCTGCCTCACAAGGGCAAGCCCATGAGTTCAAAGTCCGGTACCAAAAAAAGAAAAGAAAAGAAAATATTTCATTGATAAAATTTTTTCTCCCATTCCTCCTCCACGTCTCTTTAACCATAAGGGGTGTTCATGCACAACTCCTGCCTAATGTTCCAAATCCTTTCCCTACACACTCTTCTCTCTTTATGAAAAATGTGCCATTTTTAAAAAATAGTGTTTTAATAGAGGTTTTGTCTTATGGAAGCTGAGTTCTAAGCAAGTCCAGGCCTTGGTAATGGGTCTCATCTTCTGGGAGGAGTCTTCCGCTAGTGAAGGGGGAAGAAATTCAGTCACCTCCTAGGCCTAGGGTGGCCCACAGGCCTAGGTCAGAGTCAGGAGGGGGCTGGGGAACCTCTGGGAGCCTCGTGGCTGGGAATGATAGCATTTTGCCATGTCTAGCCTTGTATTTCTTTCTGCTACACTGGTGTTTTTTTCTCCTCAGCTGAAGACTTGAATAAATAGTTTGATTTTCTGTTATTGCCGACGATTACTGCATCTTCTTATTTAACTTATGTCTTCTTTCCAAGCGAGAATATCCAGGTTTCGGTTGGATCTATTTTAAGGTGAATTGATTAACCAGCATAATAATACATTCGTATGTTTCTTTTTTCATTACATTTTTTTACTCTAAAATAGTTACAGAGCGTGCGCAGTCGTATCCCTGGCAAACCACGTTGTCTTTGGGTCTGTCTGTCTGTCTCCTTCCTCCCTGACAGGGGAACCTGCCCCCAGACTACAGAATCAGCCTGATCGACATAGGCCTGGTGATCGAGTACCTGATGGGCGGCGCTTACCGCTGCAACTACACCCGCAAGCGCTTCCGGACGCTCTACCACAATCTCTTCGGCCCCAAGAGGGTGAGGCTGGGGAGGACCCGTGGGAGGGACTTGGGCTGTGGCGCCTTTGTCTCCTGGGGAGACCAGCTGAGGAGGTAACTGCTCCTTTTCTTCTCCCCTCTTCTATCCAATCCGTTCATCTTTGCTTAATTTTTCTTTTTTTTTAAATTGCTATGTGTTTGTGACACATAATGATTACATAACGGAATTGGTATCTATACATACTGCATTGTCACCAGGTCCTCTTGGCCCAATCCCCACCTTTTCGTAATGAAATTTAAAATTTGGCAACTAATACTATCAGGCATTTTCCTTGAAATGACGGCCCAACTTTATGGGTGTTATTAAAATGTCTGCCCAGCGGCCAAGTCTGAGCAGCCACAGTCTGTCTGCCAGGCATTCTTTCAAGAAAAAAAAAAAAAATGGTATTCCGTGAAACAAGGTGGCTGGAATGCAGCCCAAAGATTTCCTAAGACAGGACAGCCATCATAGGTCAGGAGCAGCACAGAGCTTTGGGGGCTGCTTCCCCTTTTGTCCCAAGGAACAGTAATAGGACACCCAGTTTTGGATTAACAAAAGGAGCTCTAGGCCTCCAGGACACTAAGTGAAATTGCTTTGGCTTTTTTGGTTTTTGTGGAGTTTAATGACCAAGTACACTTCAGTACCATTGCCTTTACTTTTGCTAAGGACCTTGCAGTTTTGACTTTGCATGGCTTTTTACCATCTGTGCCAGTGTGAACAGTACCAAAACAGTAACAGGCCCTGCATGGCGTCCTAGGCCTGAAATCCTGTGATCCAGCTACTCCTGAGTCTGAGGCAGGAAAACTTCTAATCCAAGGCCAACCTGGCTACGTACAAAACCCTATCTCAAAATAAAAAATAAAGAACACTGGGGATGTAGCTCAGCGGAGCACTCCTAGGTTAGCGCCCCAGTTTGGGGTGGGGGTGGTAACATCTATGGTAACATACTATGGCTATGAACGTAGCTTGAACTTCACACACCTCAGAAAGGGTGGGTGCCAGGGGCCCCCACAGGAAGTCCATGGACAGCATTTTGAGAATTGATTTCCTACTTGGTAGTGAGCATTTTTCTTTCTTTTTACATTTTTGTTATTGTCTTAAATGTTTTCATCATATTTTTATGGGTTTTTTAATTGACTTGGTTGATTTTTATGTTTAATAAAATTTTCCTCTGATTATGAAAATATTTTGTAGGACTGGTAGAGAACTTTAAAAACACCAAAAAAAAAAGTACAAATGGGGGGGACCCACAGATTTTAGACTGGTGGTCATTTTAGAAGCTGAAAGGGAGACCAAGCTGAAGCTAATCCAGCCTGAACAGTCACGTAGAATCAGGAGAAGCTGCAAGGCCTTAACTTGTGACTCACTCAGATGGCAACAAGATGGTGACACCAAGATGGCGCCCACCATTCTGTCCCACTCAGCAGCACAGAGTCTGCCCCCTCACCCCTGAAATGCAACTTGGTATCTCTCCCTGTTACATATCGTCCAGTTCTGTAATGTGCTGAGTCGCCTTCTCTATCTCCCTCATCCTCTGCCTGTTTCACACATTTCCAGCACAGCCAGGGATGCCACTCTGTGTGCGATGCCTTCCAAGCTCCTGAGTGCCTTTCGCCATCAACACTGCTCAGAGCACTCACTCTTGCTCTGCCAACCAGCAGCACAAGCGATGGCCAGCAGGAGGCATCTGCAATACACAGCTGAATGATATCCCCAGTCTCCAGACAGTAGGGTGTTCCAGAGGCTTGAGAAATACTTCATTCAATTTGCTTGGTCGAATGTTCCATTGCTTGTCTGTCTTATTCTATTCCTGCTGTTATAACAAAACACTACATGGAGCTGGGTGTGATCCCACAGGCCTGTAATCCCAGCATTCAGGGGGCTGAGGCCAAAGAATCTCCCTGGGTTTGAGGCCACCCTGGGCTACATCATGAGTTCAAGGCCAGCCTGAACTACATAGTGAGACTCTGTCTCAAAAAAAAAAAGAAAAAGAAAAGAAAAGAGAAAGCCACTATGTGGCTTATATTAGGCATATAAGCAACCTAAATCTATTTCTCACAATTCTGGAAGCTGAAAAGTCCAGGAACAAGGCACCAACAAATTCAATATCCAGTAGGGCCCGGCACTTAGCCCAGTGGTTCCACCACTTGCCTCAAAAGCACAAAGACCCGAGTTGATCCCCGTACTCAAAACAAACAAACAAACAAAAACCAAATTCAATATCCAGTGAAGGTCTATTTCCTGATTCACAGAGACCACCACCACCACCCCGCCTTCTGGCTGTTTCCTTACAAGGTAGAAAAGGGCAAACAAGCTCCTGTGGGCTTTTTGTTTTGTTTCTAGGGGTGGTGTTTTGTTTGGGGGGAGTTGGGAGACAGGGTCTCACTAAGTTGCTCAGGGTGGCCTTGAACTTGTGATCCTCCTGCCTCAGCTTCCTGACTGCCTGGTTTACTAGCATGACCTCTTTTATGAGGACACTAATCTCACTCAGGAGGGCTCTTCTCATTTGACCCATTCCAATCCAATACCATGCAGGACCTTAGGGGCTAGGATTTTATTTTGTTTTGTTTTTTTTAAAACAGGAATGGGCTGGGGATTTAGCTGCCTGCCTCACAAGTGCAAGGTCCTGAGTTCAATCCCCAGTACCAAAAAAAAAGACAGGAAAACCTCAGTATGCATTCCAGGCTGGCCTTGAAATAACTGTGTAACCCAGGCTGGCCTAGAACTCTTGCCCATCCTCCTGCCTCCGCCACTAGAGTGCTGAGATTATAGAATATCCCTAGCAGAGGTTAAGATTTCATCATACAAATTTGGGGAGAAACAAACTTTCAGATCATAGCACTCATTCAAATACTGGATGTCGTGAAGGTCTCAGCCAAGGAGGATAGTTATACAAAGGTAAAAGAAATCTTAGTCCATAAGGCACTATAAACCTCAATGTCTACCCTTACACAATCTAATTATCTCTCTCCAGTTTCCAAGTTTTTTATGATATGATTCACCAAAATCACGAAATTCCTAATTCTCCTAGAATTTCTAGAAATAAATTCCCTTTGTAATGTTTTATTCAGTGAAATAAAATAAATGCTGTCCGGTGCAATGGTTCTTATACTGCTTGTTCAAGATATAGTAGGATTCTTTTCTTACCTTCATGAAAGAAAAATCTAACTTTGTTCACAACATTTTTTTTAACAGCCCAAAGCCTTGAAACTTCTGGGAATGGAGGTAATTGTTTGCTCAAGTTATTAATGTCAATTATTCTCTTTATTACATATTTGAAAGATATATGAGCTCATTTCAGTGGTAAAACTTGGTACGTGATTCTAAGATAAGGAAATAAATATTTTCCAAGTGTCACGAGGACAGCTCACAATAGCTTTGAAAATTCCACCATGAGGTTTTATAGTAGCATTGTGAACAAAATAAATAAATCTTATTTTACTAACTTGAAAACTAAGGAAGAATATAAACACCAGTAAGCAAACTTCATGCATGGGTGTTTACAAATGGCAATAGATCCAATGGCCAGAACTACTTCACAAATACAGAAACTCCAGTAAGATTATGTTTCCTATTTTTCGTTCATATATTTATTGTCATATATGGAAACACAACTATAGGATATTCTTGTCCTTTCTGGAAAAAGAATGGTGCTGTCCCTTGTGAGGTACAAACAACCCCAACTATAGTATATAAGAAGAAATGGACAAAAGTAAAGCAAAAGAGAAAATGGCCCATTAAAAAATATTTTAAATGGAAGTAAACCAACGTGCCCCCATAGGACTATACATATGCATTTACTATAACCTATTTTAAGATTAGTCATGGACAAGCTTGTGAGTTCTTTTAGGATAGAAGCTGGTCTAGTTCATTTCAGAGTTGACCCCAAAAGCTGAGCCAGTAGAAGATGCACAGTAGCTGTATTATGAGTTGACCCTATTTGTTTCCAACTCAACCTGTATGTGTTTCTCTAAAACTACAGGATGACATTCCCTTAAGGCGAGGAAGAAAGACAACCAAGAAGCGTGAAGAAGAGGTGGACATAGACTTGGATGACCCTGAGATCAACCATTTTCCTTTCCCCTTCCACGAGCTGATGGTGTGGGCCGTTCTCATGAAGAGACAGAAGATGGCGCTGTTCTTCTGGCAACACGGGGAGGAAGCCATGGCCAAGGCGCTGGTGGCGTGCAAGCTCTGCAAAGCCATGGCCCACGAGGCCTCCGAGAATGACATGGTCGACGACATCTCCCAGGAGCTGAACCACAACTCGAGGTTGGCCGGCTGAGCACATGGGGGGGTCGAGGGGAGCGAAGTTTGGAGGGTGGGTTCCATAGACTGAGACAAAACTACACAAGGCTTTAATGGGAGGGCCGGGCACAGTGGCATACACCTATCATCCTAGCTGCTAGGAAGGCTGAAGCAGGAGGATCACAAGTTCAAGGCCAGCTTGGGAGATTTAAAAAGACCCTGTCCCAAAATACCAAGGGCTGGGGATGTGCTCGGGGGTAGAGCACGTCTGGGTTCAATCCCCCACTGTCACAAAGAGGAGGGTCAGCGTCACCCCCACGGTACATGAATGATTCACCTTTACTGTGCATGGTGCTACACGTGGTGGTGCACACGGATACTCGTGCTTTCATGACATCCTCGAAACTCCCCTAAGAGCTAGGTCCTATGTTCCAGTACTTCTTTCAGCTGAGGTCAATGAGGCTCAGAGAATTTAGGTGACTTGCCCATGGTCACACATTTGCACTTAACAAGGCTGGGGTTTGAACTTGAGGTCTGTACATTTAAGAAGGCATGCTCCAACCATGGACTGATGGGTCTACCTCCACTTCCATATACCTCGCATTTGGGACCTTGAGTGTAGGGACCATGCCTAGTTTAACTCACATCTTCAGTTGTAAACATGCTATGTGAGGCATAGTGGATGCATAGTAGAAGTTGGCCACATGAATCTATGAACAGATGAGACCCCACAGGAAGCACTACTCCACACAGCAACCATTATTGTGGTTAGCCAGTAGACCTCCTCTTTCATCACATTAGTCTCCTAGCTGGTCTGAAGGATTCTTCTGTATCTTCTTTTTCAGGGACTTTGGCCAGCTGGCTGTGGAGCTCTTAGACCAATCCTACAAGCAGGATGAGCAGCTGGCCATGAAATTGCTGACATATGAGTTGAAGAACTGGAGCAATGCCACGTGCCTGCAGCTGGCTGTGGCTGCCAAGCACCGCGACTTCATCGCACACACGTGCAGCCAGATGTTGCTCACCGACATGTGGATGGGTCGGCTCCGCATGCGCAAGAACTCAGGCCTCAAGGTCAGTGCGCCTGAGAAGGCCCTGTTGGCTCAGAGGATGAAAGGGGTGGTTGGGGTTTTCCCAGCCAAATCTGCAATGGGATTGGATAGTCTCTTATAACACTGACTGCTCATCAAGATCTCCTGTATAGGGTTTTGATTTTCACATAGAAACCAGAGCTTCCCTGAGTCCTGCTGAATCAGAATGCTAAGGATGGCTCCTAGACATTAGCATTTGTCAGATGATCCAAAAGTGATAGTCACACAGGTCCCCAAAAAGGTGCCATGTGCTCTGATACAAACAGTGGGTCAGCAGCAGCCCTCCCCTAGGTAACCCTTCCCCCCTAGGGGAGCCTAACCCACTGGCTGTCCTCTGCATCAGTCACAGAGACAATGGCTGTATGTGCTCAGGAAAAAGATGAACTAAAAGTGAGACACTGCTCCATAATCCTATTGTACTTTTTTCCAGTGGTGCTGGAGAATCAAAATCAGGGCCGTGTGCATGCCACTGAGTTAAATCCCCAGCTGCTGATCTATTCTTTGCCCTTATCTTTGTCTTTCTTTTGTGTGTGGGGGGGTGGGGGTGGGTGTGTATTACTGGGGATTGTACCTAGAGCCTTCACTCTGAGGTACATCCTCAACCCTTTTTAATTTTTGAAACAGGGCCTCACTCAGTCACTAAGTTGCTCAGGCTGGGCTCAAACTTGCAATCTTCCTGCCTTAGCCTCGTAAAGTTTTGGGATTATAGGAATCTGCCACCATGCCCAGCTTGATCTACTCTTAAATAAGGAAAAATGAGTCAGAGACCAGTCTGTTTAACCTCAGTGCATTTTTTTAAAGGTTGTATTGTAGAGTTCTATTTATATAGATTAACGTTTTAAAACACAGTAGTGAAGCCAGACCTAGTGGCACACACCTGTGATCCCACACACCTGTAATCTGGGAGGTGCGGTAAGAGGATTGCAAATTCAAGCCTGGCCTGGACACTTTAGTTCAATACCGGCCTGGACACTTTAGTTCAATCCCCAGTACAAAACCACCACTACAACGACAAAGATGTAGAATACATGGAAATCATTTGCTTTGGCCCAGTGGTTGAACGGACCCTGTCAGAGACTTTGTTTTTTGGTACCAGGGATGGAACTCGGGACCTTGCGCTTTCGAGGCAGGCACCTGAACCACTGAGCTAAATCCCCGACTTTATAGTTTTTAACAGAAGTAGAAACTTACGTAGCTTTTGCTTTTGGTTTTGTTGCTTTTGCTTGCGGTGCTGGGCATTGAAGCCATGGGCTCACATGTTAGGCAAGCACTCTGACTGCGCTGCACCCCCACCCCTGCTTTTGCCTTCTTTATTACTTTTTTCAGTGGTTTTCAAAAGAAAATATTAATTTGAAAGAAGTAAAAGAAAAAAGAGAAGGTAGAAGACCAAAAGAATGCAGGATTTTTTCAGTTTGCTTTTGCTTTAATTTTTGTGATGCCAGTTTCTCTTTAATTATATATATATCTAAGGTGTATTACATGATGGCCTGGTGTTTCTGATATACATATTGAAATGGTTACTAGAGTCAAGCAAATTACAATATCCCTCATCTTGCATGGTCACCTTTTACTCGAGCTGGTAAAAGCACCTAAAATCCCCCTTAGCGAACCCTAGTATGTAATACGCTCTCAGAACCGTGATCCCCATGCTGCACATGACACTCCAGACCTGTTCATCCTCCCTGCACATCTGCCTCTCTGAACCCTCTGTCCACATTCTATGGGACCAGTGCCCCATCTCCCGCTCCACCTTTCCTGTGGGCCCTCGGCCCTGGGTCACTGAAGGCTTCTGTGAAGTGGGCCACAACATTTTTCCTGACCTTCAGGATCTCTCTAAACCCCCCTCTTCAGGAGGTTTATTTTTAGACACTTGGTGTCCCGGAACCATGTCAGGATTGAGAGAAGTGGGAGAAAATATGGAGAACAAGAGTCAGATGTCAGCGTCATTGGAGACGGCACCTGTTTGTCCCCTGGAGGTGGAGAATGAGATTTCCCTAGTGGGAGAGCCCTCACACGCTGATGCATGCCGCTGTTTATACATGAGGTGGGCAGGATGCTGGTCCTTGCTGAGGCACTTGTGCAAGGGGACACTATGGGCTTCTTGGGGTGTGTGTGTTTCTGTTGTGCAGTAGCGGATGGCACCAGCATGCTCTACAATGAATAGAAATACTCTGCTATATGTACTTCTCAAGGTCATCTTAGAACACTAATTTTTTACAGAGATAACCAGATAATATATAATCAATTGCACTTGACATATTAGCAAATAAATGCTAAAGAGCATACGTATGAATTGATTTTAGGAAGCTGAGTGCTGTGTAATGACTAAATGGAAATCTTAGTTCTTTCCCATGTTTGCATTGCAAGCTCTCCTTTTCCTCAGTTTCCCCATGAACCTGAGTGCTAATAGGGCAAGGTATATTTAGGTAAAATGCTTTCTTTCTCCAAAAATTAGACTGAGCTACTATTCAAAAATAATTCCCAGATGGGACAGTGACCTCTTCACATTAATGCATTTAGATATTCAGACGTCTAGGTCTCCATACAAGCCATGGAATCCTTTATATACATATGTGCATGCTCACACACACACACACACACACACTCATACACCACACCCAGGCCCTCTGAGTCTGAGAAACCACCTTAATCGTAATCCTTTAAATGTGATTATTATTATTATCATTATTATTACTTTAGGTAATTCTGGGAATTCTACTTCCTCCTTCAATTCTCAGCTTGGAGTTCAAGAACAAAGACGACATGCCCTACATGACTCAGGCCCAAGAAATCCATCTGCAAGAGAAGGAGCCAGAAGAACCAGAGAAGCCCACCAAGGAGAAAGATGAAGAGGACATGGAACTGACGGTAAGAACCAGCTATGCGCTATTCTCCCTGGAAAGAATCCCTAATCCACTCATCCCCCTGATATGGCGAAGGGTTCAATGACTACAGGTCATACAGCTGTCCCCCAGAGTCCTGCCAGGTTTAATCCTGGGCACTTTAAATGCTGAGGCCAAGGCTTAAAAAAAGTGTCCTCTTTATACACAAATAACGTTCCTGTAGGGTCCAGTTTTATGTAAAGCCCTTTGGGCAGCTAGTGGTACAGGAAAAAAAAAAAGTTCAAAACAGAGCACCCCAAATTTTCCAGGCAAGAAAAGTTTTATAAACAACCACATACTGTGGCAGTTTTAGCACACAAAAAAGGAAGGGAGCCCATGCTTTGGAAGAAGCTGGCTTCACTGAGCTGGAACATTCTGCTGATCAGAAGCTAAGCCTATGTCTGTCTTTGGGGTCAGGCTCACAAAAACAGCACTAATTGAATTTTGAGGTTTGTATGGAAAGCTTTTATTAGCTCATCCTGGTATAATTATAGAACATGGGTGCTTTGTTCTGCACAGGGAATGGGGCAGCTGCTTGTGGGACAGCTTCCCACCACCCCTGCCTGAGCCCCGTGACTGCCACTGGCTTGTATCCAAGGGCTAAAAATACCCCATTTATTAAAGGGACAAATAAGGCTTCATGGCTTAGAAGACATCATGCAGAAGCTCCATAAGGACTTTTTTGATATGCCTCACCCTCTCTCACTACCTTAGCTGGTGACTGATCCTGTCATGACCCAGAAGAAATTATAAGAGGGGACCACGAAAATTGGTTTTGCTCAGGTGACAAAAAGCATTCTGCATTATTATCCTAGTGGGACCAATGTGAGAATTGTTCTTTCTCCAGACAAGCAATTTCCTTCCAGTAGGCTCCTGCTCTGTTTGCAGAAATATTGCCTGACTCCCCAAATGAAAAGTCAACTTTTGTTTCTGTTTCAGGATCCTTATAAAATCTGCTGAGCAGTTTTCTCACTGTGCAGTAGCATCAGGGACTGTCTTCCCTAAACATCTTTCTGAGCTAGGTGTGGTGGTACACACCTGTAATCCCACCTATAATACACACCTATAATATACACATAATACCACCTATAATATACACACCTATAATCCCAGCACTCCGGAGATTGAGGCAGGAGGATCACAAATCTGAGCCCAGCCCAGGGAATTTAGCAATTTAGTGAGACTCTGTCTCAAAATAAAATATAAAAGGGGACTGCAGAATGTAGCTTTGTGTGAAGGCCCTGGGTTCAGTGCCCAATGCCACAGACAAAAATCTTGGACTCTACATCCTTTTACAGATAGAAAATGATATATTCCACCTTGGGAGAAACACTATTAGTATGAATACTGGATTTTTAGTAAATATTTTAGCAGAGAGGTAAAAAGCATGTGATCTGGAGTCAGAACCCTGCCCCCTCACCTGTGTGACTTCCTCTTTGATGTCCTGTGTGACTTCCTGTGTGACTTTGGGTGTAGCTCCAGAGCCTCTAGCATGGGAATAATAACTCTGCCTGCCTGGCAGGTGGTTATGTGGATTAAGAGGTATACACATTAGGCTGGAGATTTAGCTCACTGGCACCACGCTTGCCTTGCAAGTGCAAGGTCGTGAGTTTGACCCCCGGTACACAGCCCCCCCCCCCAAAAGAGGTATAAACTGCTTAGACTGGTGCCTGACAACTCTAAACATCAATAAATGTTGAGGTACTGTTGTAACAGTGCTAAACACTCTTCATATACTTAGCCATGGAATCCTCACATCAGATCCATGAGGCAGGCATTATTATTAACTCTATTTTACAGATGAGGAAAGTGGGACTCAGATTAAATTGCTCACCTTTACCCAGCTAGTGAGTTTCAAAGCTGAGATTCAAACCCAGGCATACAAACTCCATTGGCTTTTCTTTTAAGCCAAAAGTTAAGAGACAGAGAATTTCTTCCTGGTCTCAAGTGTAGGTGATTAGCTGGTTTGGTTCACCACATAGTAGGGAGAATTCAGAAGCAACGCCCAGACCCTCTAAGTCATGTGTGCCATGACCTCAACACAGCCACATGTCCCAGGAAGACAGTGAGGAGCTGAATCAGCATTTTCTCTGGTTGGATCTCAAGGAGGAAAACAAAGGGAGGAGCTTCCCCTGCTCCCTCCAAAGCTTTGAGGACCTGGTTCTTCAAGAAGCCACAAGTCTGTGAACTAAGAGCAAAGTCTGCTTGCTAAAGAACAGACCCCAGAACAGTTCCCTAAGAACCTGAGTAGGAGACACAGTGATTCCAGAGCTTACTGCCCCAAAGCAGAAAAAGCAGGGAGGGAACTTGTGGGCTGGCAGGCTCAGGCTGGGACAGCAGTTGTCTGTAAAGTGGAGCTTTCTTTGACCTTGAAGGCAAATCCTACTGCTGCTTGGGCTCTGCTCGGCAGGCTCATCACGGACAGGATTGGAGAGCGTAGCTTTCAGAGACTGATATTTGAGCTTCTGTGTTAAACCAACATATCTTCTCTTGGAGTGGGACCTCCTTTGGCCCTTCCAAACTACACAAACATACCAGCCTCAGTGTGCTCCATTTTCAGGACCCGTACTGACCTAGTTCACCTCAAAGGATCCTTCTCTGCTTTGACACCTGTGTCTACCCAATAGCGATTCTCAAATCCATACTGCACAATCTTGTTTGTATTTGACCCTGTTAAATTCTGCTTTAAGGAATGTCAAAGGAAATGTATGACTACAGAGAAAAGAAATCAATAAAATCAGCAATTTAAGCTGCTTAGGCTGGAATTAATGAAGTGATAAAAATGCTTTATTTAAATGCATCAAAAACAATACATTGGGTCTAGAATAATTTGAATAATAGAGGCAAAAATGGGTTGTTATGTTTTTGTTTGTGCTTTGCCTGAATGGTCAGGTAAGTGTACTTTGCTTAGTAAAGTCCCAATATATCTTGAGCCCCAGCTGTAGATCTAGGAAAATCACTATTCCTTAGAGGTTACCCCAAGACGCCACTCCGCAAGACACTTCAGAATCTGCCTTTACTTCCATATCTCATTGTGTTCCCAAATGGCACTGCACTGTCAAGCACAGAAATAAGCAGAACAGAAGCAGGATAATCCCTACAATCCCAGCACTTGGAAGGCTGAGGCAGAACGACTGTGAGCTAAAGGTCAGCCTGGGTTACAGAGCGAGTTCAAGTCAAGCCCAGACTGTGTAGTAAGAACTGTCTCAAAATCCAAAACCAAAGAGAGAAAAATGGCAGCAGTAGGATAACTATGTCACATAAATTTTAAATTACAGGACAAATACTGTACCTTTGGAGTTTCTTGAGATCCATGATCAGTAGTCTAAAATTCTACTGGGGTCTAGCGTGCTGTATCCACCACGAAGGTTGGCTCAGCTTGCTGGTGAAAATAAACAATTAGATAAACCTTGGAATTAAATCATATCTATTCATTAACTCAAGGTACTTTTCTAGCCAGAGTACACAAAGAAATAGAAGTTACCTTCTCCAGAAAGCCTATTGATTAGAGATAAATAATTTGTGATTGTCACATATTTGAGTGAAATCATTGTTTAAAGCAATGCTCAAAGTAGTTGAAACTAATATTGGTATATTTTAGATAGGGTGGTTTGAAATCAGAGGTTCTCTCTATTATCATTTTCAAGACAAACTTAAATTACTGCTATAATTAGATCTCTCAACTTTAAACTCATGTGTTCAATAGGACAGTGTCTTCGCCTAGGTGTATTTCAGTCCTGATAATGTCTTGCCTGTCCCACATTTAATAAAAATCTTGTTTCCCGACATTGTAGAACTGACTTTGTCTTAGGACAGTATTAAAGAACGCAAGCCAAGAATTTACGCTGTCATACTCTCTTTTTTGCCCAGTTACAGTTTATTATAGGAAAAACCTACAGATTAAAATCACCCAAGGGAAGAAGCCCACAGGTTTAAGTCCAGAACGGTTCCAAACGCATCACGTCTGTGGTCTACTCACTCTGGAGCCAGCACTCATTATTCTTCAGTGTGTGAAACTTGCACAAAGTATTGCCAGCCAGAGAAGCATGCCTGTCTCATGTCTGACGTTTTTATTGGGAGCTCCACTGCATCAGTATGATTGACTCATTGCCTAGGTTGTAACCCAGGTGCCAGGTGACCTAAAGCCCTCTCTGAATCATGCAATTGGTTTTTATGGCAGGGCCGGCCCCAGCCTCAGACCTCCTGGGGTGGGCGGGCTCTCTCTCTAAACAAAGAACTATTGGCTATGACATGCCTTATCTTCAAGGAACTGCGGGCAAAGGCCAGATCTGTCTTTGGGCACAGTCAAGATCAACTAGGGGTTGGGGGGTACTAGTTGAGATTGAACCCAGGGCCTTCATACTGAGGTACGTCCGAGAGATCCCCCACTGGATCATTTCACTCAGTACTACTGTCCAGGAAGGTCCCAGTGTACTTTAAAGATGAGCTAATGGTTACTGAGTGTTTACTAAAGTCAGACACTAATTGATTTGTAAACCAACCCAACAGTAGTGGCTCTTACTACCCTCATTTTACAGTTAAAGAAAATAAGTCTCTGAGTGATTAAAACAACTTGCCCAAGGTGCCAGATTCTAGGCAGCCATGCCAGGACTCAGTCTCCCATCTGAGTGGCCCAAAGCCTAAAACACTTCATCACTGGGCTCTTCACCCATTTGAGGGGGCTCCCTGACGCTTGCTACCCAGACAAGCACATGTGTGCCTTTCTCAGGTTCTGCCTTCCTTGTGATGTTAAATCTGTTGCTAACGCTACTCCTGTTAAGTGGGTGAGGGGCTAATCCATTTTTTTTTTTTTTTTTTTTTTTTGGCTAATCCATTCTTAAGGACATCTCCAGGAGCGTGGAGATGGGCCTCTCCTGGTCAGGCCTACCAGCTACACAGGAAGGCAGTGCGCCTAGGAGCTGCCCTATGGCTGGTGCCAACAGTAATTCCAGTTTTACAAGGTTGGAAACCAGGGAGGTCAGACACATGCCAAGGTGTTGAGATGTCCTGAACCCAAGCTTTAGATACTGCCTAAAACTTGCCTCTTAACTACTCATGACCTTTGAAAAATGAGGGACTCTGACCCAACATACTCATGACTCCAGAGCAGATGTGACTTGAGAGACAGAATTTGAACCGTAAGCTAGCCTGTCCCAGAATGTATACAGGAGGGAGGTAGACAGATTCCTGTAGTGTGACCATGCCAGGGTCTGTTCTTCCTCTCAGAATTCTGTGCATAGGCTATCACCCACTTCTTCCAGGGGGTCCAGGGTGGAAGAAAAGAACATGCTCGAGAAATATCCCCAAGGGCTTCCATGCAGGCAAAGGGAATGAGTGGATTATGTGTCTGATGAGTCACACACTAAGGGAAGGCACAGCTTTTCAATGTCTGGGGGTCTTGGGTTCTTGGAAGGTTCTGGAACTCAGCTCTGGTGAGCATCTGCTCCTCCGTATAAATGGGCGCACTACACAGGGCAGGCTGTGATGGTGTCGCTTCTCACTTCTCTCCCACTGTAGGCCATGCTGGGACGGAACAGCGGGGAGTCTTCGAGGAAGAAGGACGAAGAGGAAGTTCAGAGCAGGCACCGACTGATCCCCCTAGGCAGAAAAATCTATGAATTCTACAATGCACCCATCGTCAAGTTCTGGTTCTACACTGTAAGCCTCTGCTTTTCTCCTTCCCAATGCAGGCCAAGGGAGTCAGTGTTCGTTTATCTGGCCCTGCGTGGTTTTTAATAGAAGCACCACATACACAGGAATGAAACTCCTCTGACTTTGCTGCAACAGCTTTGTAGGATTCGGGAAGTGCGATAGGCAACTTCCACAGGGCTCTATTTCTCTTCTTTGCAGAAAGGAAATGGTAAAAGCACAAACGGATGGAAATGGTGGGGGAACAGATGTTCTTTCCTCAAAACACTTCCCTGTTCCGGACAGATAAGGACTAGATAAGAGTTGCCCTGTTAGATGCCTATCCCAGGGCTTGGAGGGGCGTTTGGTAGGTAACGGGAAGAGCAATGCAGAAATTACACCCTAGAAAAGGTCAGCATGCACAGGGAATTATTCCCAGTCTGGCAGCACCAAGACATAAGCTTTCTTGCTCTGACACAATTAAACAATATGCAAACAACGCAGCAAAAACCTACCCAAGCTGCCTGCAATCGAGGCAGCACGTTCCAGTATGCATACCCTGCAAACACTTCCTGCCAAAGAATGGTGGAGCGGCCCGAAAAGGCCTCCTGAGATGCTAGGAAGGGCTGGACAGCTGGCTTTCCGCTTCTACTTTTTAACAATATTTTAAGTTTAAGATGAGCTGGACCCAGGTCATCTACAATTCTCTCCAGCCACAGTAAAACTGTGCCAGACAAAGGATGCATTTTTAGCCAATTCCACAGCCAGCTGCAGAGCGCTCATGTGAGTCAGCAGCAGGACGATCTGGATCCAAGGCCAGGAGGACTCAAGTGACTGTGTGAGATGCTTTCAGTGTGGCCCTGTGTGAGTTTCTCAACCTCAGCACTCCTGGTATTTTGCTCAGGATGATTCTCTGCCGTGGGCACTGCCCACCACTGTAAGCACATCACCAGCATCCCTGACTGCTACCCACATGCCAGTGCCACTCTCTGTCCTCAGGTATAGCCACCCTAGTCCCTCCAGACACTGCCACAGATACCCTGGTGGGGTAACATCACCACCAGTTGAAAATAAACCCAGGGCCTTCACACTGAGCTACATCCCAGGCCTTTTTTCTTTTCTTTTCTTTTCTTTTTTTTTTGAGACAGGATCTCACTAAGCCCAGGCTGGGCTCCAACTTAACCATCCACCTGCCTCAGGCTCCCAGAGTGCTGAGATTTTATGTAGGTATGTGCCCACGCCTGGCGAAAACCACTGCTTTAAATTATGGTCTTTAAAGAGGATGGCAGAGTATCAAAATATAAATATTACACTTATTTTTACTGAAGTAAAAATTTAGATGTATTAGCTGCTCATGGTGGCACATGTCTGTAATCTCAGCACTCAGGCGGGTGAGACAGGAGGATCACCCAAGTTTAAGGCCAGCCTGGGCTATATAGTGAGTTTACGGACAGACTGAACTACAAAACAAGACTATCTCAAAAAACAAAAACAAAAACATTTAAATTTATTAATGGTAAGAAAAGAGAAAAATCACCCACCCCCCACACCTGAGGCATATGAAAATCATTTCTATTTCCCCACTGTATACAGATCTATACTGCTCTTACCTTGCAGAATATATCATAGTGGGGACGAGCCTGGACTCTGCAGTGAGACAGCTTGGGTGGGAATCCGTCTATGCTTCTTTGTATCAAGGCACCTCAAACAAGTTACTTTGCCATTCTGTCCACACTTCCCTTAAACTGAAGATAGTAACAGTAGCTACGTTGTAGGGCTTAGTGAAAATTAAATGTATTAAATAAAATACATAAAGCACTTAGAACAGGGCTTGGAGCTACTGGCACAATGTCAACGTGACTATTTTTAAGCCAGTCACACTCCACAGGGACAGAAAATCAGGGTCGTATTCATCTATCCATCAGCAACAATAATATCACCTACTGAGTACCTACCATGTCTGAGGCAATATTTCAGGTGCTTTCTAGTCTCCCTGCTCTTAACAGCAATTTGTTTGTACTGTGGTTGTGTACCTGTATCTGTCCTTCCTCTTATGCTATGCTGCCTCCACTGTTATGACCTAGAGAAGAGCTTGACAAACGACACCCCTTGGGCCAAATCCAGCCCACTGCCTGCTCTTATGTCCTGCAAGATAACGATTGTTTTTACATTTTTATTTTATTTGAGGTGCTAGGGATCAAACCCAGGGCCTCAGGCATGTTACAGAAGCACTTTATCTACAACTGAACTCCACCTCTAACCCATATTTTTCACATTTTTTAAAGGGTTGAAATAAAATTTTAAGAAAGAATACTTTGTGACACATGAAAAGGCTACAAAATTGAAATTCCAGTGTGCATAAATAAAGATGTATCGGAACACAGACAAACTTACTTGTTTACCTATAGCCCAGCTACTCTCATGCTGTAATAGTCAAGTTAATTGCTGGTAATAGAGACCCCTGGGCCCTCAGAGGCTTAAATTTTAAGTCTCTGATCCTTTGCAAAAGAAGTTTGCAGGCTCTTGATCTGGAGCACAGAGGCGCTCAGTAGAAGGAAGAGCATCGAGGGCTTTCTATCGCTTGTATGCAGAGTACTCACCCTCTCATCTTTCTGTGATAGCTCTGTTCTTCTTTCTTGACGCAAGTTCAGTAACACAGTAATTTTAGTTCTTGGTTTCCCTGCTCCTCCCTCACTCATCTCAGGTGGTTGTGATCTGAGAATGCTTTGAAATCACAACTCCCCTGGTGGGTGGTTCTCTGCCTGGCTGCCGGTTGGGATTGAAAACACGCTGCCCCCTGGGCTCTCCTCCCAGAGCTGTGACCTCATGTCTGGGATGCATCCTGGACATTGGGATATTTCAGAGCCCCTGGCTGATTGTCATGAGCACCCGGCACTGAGAACCATGGGCACAGACGAAGGGATTTTGTTAGGAAGACAACTCTGAGCTTCGTTGCAGACCCGCCCCCCCGCCCCCACTGACTCAAATCTACAGGAAGAAGCCAGAGAGATTCCCCAGTGTCTACCATGATGAGGGAAGGTGGGACCCACAGTCCTGCGTTCAGTGTGCACGGCACACTGGGAAACTGTCTTTTTGAGGGGCAAGGCCTGGGTATCCAGGCCTCCCTCCTGCCTGGCTGACAAGGTGACCTCCACCCAGCAAACCTGTCACAGCTGGGTCCCCCAGCTGTTTTCAGTTGTGTTTATACTACAGTTCTCAGAAACCCATGCTCATGTGTTGACACAACTCAGGCCTCTAGCAAGTGAATGCAGAGGAGGTATGCCAGGCTTTCCGAGTCCCTAGAAATGTTTCACAATAACTTTCAGCTTTAGGTTGAAGGTCCCATTTGTTTTCAGTTGTGTTCACTGTAAGAGTGTTTCTCACTCCAGTTTCCAAAGGTGTCCCCACCTACTCTCTGGAGTTTCTGAAGAGGAGGCCACACCTCTCCTCCTCACAACCTCACTTCCTGTTTCAGGAAGTTTCCCGAGGAGCAAGCTGCTTCCTCTCTGCTCCAAGGCAGAGGCAGACAGGTAGGGGTCCAGTGGGCTCCCAGATGCTGTCTGTAGCGAGGGCCCGTTTCAAGGATCCAGCTGGAGAGGATTCAGATTCAAGATGAGAAGTGGCCACAGCTTGGAGGACATGATGTTCACCCTGGGTTTCTCCAGCAGTGACAGTTTCTTTCCTGGAGGCCCAGACAGGTTAGGTGACAAGATAAAGTACAGGACCTGGGATTTCCACTTATTTTTTAGCAGTGTTGGGGCTGGAATCCAGGGCCCGGCATACCCTGGGCAAGTGCTCTACCACTGAGCTACATCCCACCCCTGAGCTGGATTGTAAATCCAAGTCTCACTGACTTCCAAGACACACCACACTCATATTCAGAGGACAGAGCAGGTAGAGGAGTTACCTAAATACTAAGATGCAAACCTTCTGGAAGAATTGGATGTGTTGTGTCCCTGGGCCTATGTGTAATGAGAGAAGGTAAAGCTGTGGATATTTTGCAATGAATTCTATAAAATGGTAAAACTGGGACAGCTAAGACTCATTTCACCTGGAAGCAACAGAATTTATCCAACTGAGAGAAGAAGACAACCTGGAAGAGGGAAGGATTTCGAGATAGGAGGAAGATAAGCGTATGCTATAGAGTTTTAATAACTGAGTTCCTTTCTTTGCCTTCAGTGCTCGTGGGGCCTCCAAAGTGAACGTCCTGTATTATAATGGTGAACTAAAACCACACAAACCAAGTTATATTTGGAACTAATTTTTAAACAATGTCCTACGCACCTTTAAGTAAACTCATGAGATTCACATCATTTGCTAATGATTCTGAAAGCAATGAGTGGTAGAAACCAAGGCATAGATTAACATGGCGGTTCCAAGGCAGGGGGTCTGAAAGCACCTCTTTCGGGTGAGCTCAGCCCCCCTCAGCATCTGCACAGCTGACTGTGCTGATCTCAGCAGTTTCATATAGGACATCGTTTAGGCAGCGCATCCCCCTTCCTAGCCTCCAGAGTACTGGGTTACAGGCATGCACCACCATGCCTGGCTTCAAGATAAAAAGAGTTTTTTAAAGCGGTGAGGATGTAGCTCACCATGGAGGCCCTGGTTCACCCCTCCCAGGAGAGTGCTGAAGGAAGGGCTAGGGATGCAGCTCTGTAGTAGAATGCTTGCCTAGCATGCATGAGATTCTACATAAAAGAAAAGAGTAGAAAAGGAATAAAGGGGAGGGAATGATATCCCACAGCTGTGTCTGCAATGTTGTGTTGTCCATGTAGTAGGGTATCTATTCCCTTACCAAAGAGGGGTGCGGGGGGCATTGGTAAATCAGGCAGCTCCTCTCCAGTTCCACTGAGTATCTCCCACCCAGCCTGCAGCTTCCTCCTCCTCTTTCCCTGCCTCCACGGATCCAAAGTCACACACTGTCTCCAGAACCATCAGAGCCTCAATTCTTCTGCCCACGCAGAGTCCTGCTATTGGCTCTGTCTCTCCGAAGAGCGCAGGGGATTTGGAGAAACTCACTCGGAGATCATAGTCACAGCCCCTGAAGCCCATAAGTGCCTGGCTCACATTGAGGCGTTTCCTTGAGAAGATGCAGTTGATCAGCCAGCTCCCTCGGGGTGAGATTTCTTATGCAGGACCCCAGCAGTTTTCCTGCACTCCACTCACCGTGACACCACTGATCTTGAGTGACAGAGACCAAACCTGAGCCCTGGGGAGCTTTTGTCAACCTGCATCAATTCCGGCAGTCCCATCAGAATTCCTCCTCAAGGGGCTGGGCCCTCAGGAGCATTAAACCCCACTCCCCCCACAGTAGGCCACACAGACCCTTGGCTTTCTGTAGATTCATTTGGCTCCTCTTGTTTTACTTCAAAGATGTGAAAACCAAAACAAATATTCCAACTTGGGTAGGGCAGGAAGGTATACAATAGAAAACAGGGAAAACCCTCCCAGGTTTGGACAAACCAAGCACTAAGTTAAGACAGCGGAGAAAAGGAAGAGAGTAGAAGAGGTGTCTTGAGATACAGTTTCCTATTGGCTTGACCGATTTGCAGGCCGTACATTCTCAGGAGCATTTAATTTCCCTGACGTTCATCAGGCAGAAATCCACTGTGCTGCCATTGTTCAGGAGCTTAAGGTGCCTGTCCTGGCAGAAGCAGCCTTGCCAGCTGAGGTTGCCTTTCAGATACAAGAAAACAGATAACCACAAAACATAATGAGGCAAGACAGCGCACAGATCCGAACTTCTGGGGGGCTGTGAGGGACATGTAAGAGGCAATGCAAAGGTCGCATATTAAATTGTTTCAAATATTACAGCCTTCTGATACTTGAAAGCCGCTAAGTTCATTTTGTCATGGATCCCCTGACCTTGTTCTGTCCCGTTGTGCCATAGCCTTGCCCAAGGCCAGGGCTCTGGGCCTTGGCCTTGGCAGCCAGAGCACTGTATTGTGTTTCCTCACAGCTGGCCTATATCGGGTACCTGATGCTCTTCAACTACATCGTGTTGGTGAAGATGGAGCGCTGGCCTTCCACCCAGGAATGGATCGTCATTTCCTATATTTTCACCCTGGGAATAGAAAAGATGAGAGAGGTAACTGCCTTGATGAAGGAAAGCACAGGGGAAAGATGGTGGCTAGTTCTCCTGATGGGTGGAAGGGAGGAGGGGATGCCCAGGATGCAAAGGAAGCCAGAGCTACCTTCGCTGCTGGGGCTCAGGCTGTTGCTTTCTCCATTGACGAAGCCATGGAGGATTCACAGGTGACGTTTATGGGCTGTCACTCCATGAGTGCTTTGGATTTAGTTTATTTTCTCCTCACGTAGTCCCCCCGCAAATTCCCCAGTCAGCTTCCACATAATTTACACCTCTGTTTACTCATCCCTGTACACATGACTTTTTAAATTTTGCTATTTTTAATTCCCATTCCAACCCTTACCCTGGGTCTCCCTGGACAAAGGCCACCAGTACCAATATTGTTTCTCCAAATGTGTTTCAGCAGCTCTCAGAGGGCCTCTGCTTTCATTCCTTTATTTAATTTATCCTCCAGTTGCTTCCTTCTCAACATTTCTCATGCACCTGCTGGACACCAGCCATTCCACAGTTCTGGTCCTTCAGGCTGAGGATGTCAGATCCCTCTTTTATCCCATCATCTGTGTGGCCTGAAAGAAACCATAAAATGCCAGCTATATGTGATTTGTTTGAAATGAAAGCTAACCTCCAGACTGAGGATTTAGCTCAGTAGCGATGGGCCTGCCTGGCAAGCATAATGTCCTGAGTTCAATCCCCGGTATCAGGAAAAAAAAAAAAAGAGAGAGAGAAAGAAAGCTAACCTCCGAGACAATTGAATGCGCTTCGAAAATATGAGAAAACATAGAAGAAACTTAGATACAGATTTCTAAGTGAAAATCAATCTAAAAAGATGTGTGTGATTCCAACTATATGGCATTCTAGAAAAGGCAAAACAATGGAGACAATAAAAAGAGCCATGATCGCCAGGGCTTGAGAGGAGGGATGGATGATAGAGGCTGTTTAGGGCAGTAAGATTATTCTGTAGGAATTCCTAAGGTGGATACATGTCATTATGCATCTGTTCAGACCCAGAGAAGCACAACACCAAGAGTGAGCCCTAACGTAAGTGACAGACTCTGGATCAGAGTGGTGGGTCCATTAACAAACACACCACTCTGGTGGAGGATGTTGCTAATGGAGGAGGCTACGCATGTGTAGGAGCAGAGGATATATGGTGAATTTCATTCTTCTTTTTATTTTGCTGTGAACCTAAAACTGCTCTTAAAAATAAAGTATTTAATTTGTTTTTAAAAAGAAAAAGCTAACCCCAGGACCCTGTAGATTCCAATAGCTTCTAAAGTGACTAGGACCAAACCAAAGTCCACAAGAGGGCGCCAAAGCCCTGCTCAGTGCTCTGCACAAATTTAGTTCACCAGAGAACACCCTGAGGGAAGACAGGCTGGTGAGATGTTAAGGATCCTCTGCATGTTCCCTGGACCTGTGGGGCCCAGAGGGGCCTTTTCTGGAGGAAATACTTCTGTCACATCCACTGCTCTACCAACAGCTCAAGAACCATCCTGGTTGCTATACTACAGGGAGTAGGCACCATAGGAAAAAGGATTCCTACTGTCAGCAGATCCACTCTTGCTTTCATCACTAAGACAGGTCCTTATCTTCTTGAATTTCAGATCTAGAATTCTCTCCAGAGAAAAAGATGCAGTATCTTTTAAATGTTGTATTGGGATCATTAAAAATAATCTGTGTTCAAAGCCCCTCTTGGGTTTTTACACTGTTTGGGAGACACAGTCATTCTAGCTAGTATTTCTCCATCCTGGGAACCTAAGCCTGTGTACACTAGTCCCATGTTATAAGAGCCTGGATTAAACTGACAGCAAACAAAAGTGGTGCAGTGCCTTGCCTTGTTCCAACCAGATGTCTACACCGCGGTCCTCCCATTCACAGTGCCTCCTGCTTCTTGACCAGTGGTGTGAACTTCCCACTTGTAAATGGGACAAAGGAATAAATTTGTTTGGGTCTTTGTGTGGCTCCCTGAGAATGGAGCCCACTCCTGTGAGGGCCCCCGTGGTGTGTGGTGCCAGCTGGCAATCTCGAGATTTAACGCCCATATTCTTTCCCCATGGTAAGCAGAAGAGGGAAAGACTCAGGCACGGAGATTGGAGTTCCTCCAGGGACTTGGCTGGAAGAAGACAGGGAGCAGCCTGTACTCGACGGACTGTTCTGGCGGAGGCTGCCAAGCCGGCTGGCAGCCAGGAACCTCCGGGCCTGCTATCCACTTCTCCAGAGGCAGTGTAGGAGGAGGGCTGTGGGTAGGTCAGGAAGGGGTCAGCGACAAGTCCTTGTTTCTGAGGAAGCCCCGGGGAGGGGTGGAGGAGGGAACACCTTGGTGTCTGACCTCTTCCTCTGCGGCCCAGCCCGGAGAGGTCACCATTTGGCCCATGTCCCTGTCCTGAACTCAGAAGAGAGAGGCTCAGCTCCCAGGGGCAGGTCCCACAGGCACCAGCCTGCCTGCCTGTCACAGTCAGATGTGGGCCCTGAGGCACTCAGACTTGGGAAATGTGGAAAAGTTTGCACTTGACCATGGCTTCCGAAGGAGACACAAGAGAGGCTTTGTGGTTTCTTGGGCTGCCCACCCCTTCCCATCCCCACATACTCCTGCCTGTGGTCACCCATGGTAATCCCTTAATAGCGTGGCACTGTTTACAGTGTGCTTTACTAGACGTTATCTCATCTGGGTCCTCCTCCCACAACTGTGTGAGGTCAACGGTGTGGCTATGATAACACCCTGACTTTACAGGCCTGGAAACCAAGACTTGAGGGATTAAGCAATTTTTAAAAAACCCATGGCTAGAAAGGGCTTCGAGGTGAAGGGGACCGAGGAGGCACTCTTGGCCTTTGACTCCTGTTTCATCCCAAGCGGCTGTACTTTTATCTCTTCTTTTAATGTCAGGACTCCACAAAAAAGTTTTTACTATTTAAAAATTGTATTAAAACATTCTGTGTTTAGCAGTTTTTTAGCAGAGTGAGAAAAGAATCAGAAAAGCTCCAAGGTGCCGTCCATCCTCCTTCCTTCTCCTCTCCACATACACGTGTAGATTTTTGCCTAGTTAAGATGGAGCCAGAGGGTGAGAAGCCATTGAGACACCACCAGCTGCAGGAACTGCTGGTGGGTAGGACATGAGCAGTGTGACCTGGGACCCAATGCGAAGGTAGCTCCTAGGCCTGCTGAAGCATGAACACAATGGGAGAGCCAGCCACCTGGGTCTCGAACAGCTGTTTCTGATGCATACTAAGGTTTAAGAAACCCTAGGCTAGGGCTTAGCGAGGGGGAACCACAGAGGATGGACTATGAGACTCCCAGATAGCTCTTGGTATCATCTTGCTCAGCCTGCTGAGCCCCAGTCCTAACTTACTAACACCTCCCTGCCTTAGTATTTCAGATCAGGGGCACCATGATAGTGGACATGAAGAGATGAACAAACAGTAGATCGATCTAACCCCAGTCTTTTTTCCCCTTTGAGAGAACCCAAATGGAGGAAACAGTGGGTCATGGCTTGAAGAGATGGAAACTTAAGAAGTAAACACAAGAGATTCATGAGGGTGGCCTGACGCCTTCTCTAAGCTAGGCTCTGCGTTCCTCACATCTTGGGCAGGTTATGGTGGAGGATGAGGGCAGCTCCTGCTGCACAGCTGTGTGTTTTCTAGAGCCTCTAGTGGTTGCCCCTCGAGGCTTAAGGTAAATCAAGAGTTCTAGTCAAGATGAGGATATGGTGTAACAGCCAGTCAGTCCATGGACAGATATTTATTGTGTCCATTATGGAACAAGCCTGGGGTATAAAGGATCTGCCCTCAGCATTTACAGAACAGTGAAGAGAAAATGATGGCAGATGGGTGGGTGCAAGGATAGATAGATGGATGGATGGATGGGTAGATGGGTAGGTAAATGGATGGGCGGATGAATGAACAGATAGGCAGATACATTCATGAAAAAATATGTATGGAGAAAATTTCGTGTAGTGATAAAAACTCCAAAAAATTAAATATAGTGAGAGTGACTTGGACACATTGAGGCTACTGCAGCTCGGATGATTCAAGGATGGCCTCCCTAAGAAGGGACATCTGACTAGAGACCTTGAGACTGAGGAAGAGCCAAAGGTGTAAAGCTCTAGGAAAATAAAATGCCCAAGGAGAAGGAATAAGTACAATATGTAGGATGGACTTGTTATGCTTAAGAGCAGGCAGGTGTGACCACAGGGGAGAGAATGGGGGGGAATAGAATGAGATGTGAAAGAAGGCCATGGTGAGGAGTCTGGGTTTTTCTCTAATTGTGATGGAACCGTTGGAAGTTCAAGTGTGCCAGTATCATAATTTTTATCACTTTCTGCTGTTGTTCATCTCTCCTGTCTCCCTGTTTTAAAACTGAGGTACAGTTTACCTGTAACAAAGTGAACTTCTGGTAAGGGTGTGGCTTGATGAGCTTTTACCCAGTAATCATTGGCTAGATGATAAGTTCTTAGAGATCATCACCCGGTGTGTTCACCAGGGAATTGACTGCAGGCTGACAGGGATACGGTGAGAAGGCTGCTGCAGTCATGTGTGAGGCGAAACAGGACTTAGAACTGGGTGGCAGCCGTGGAGGGAGTGGGAAGTGGTGGGTTAGGCTGTGTTTAAAAACAGAAGTGCAAGGACTTGTTGTGCAACAGAGGAATGAAGGAGTCTTCCTAACAGAGTGGCCTGAGTAACCCAATATGATGGAGCTGTTTACAGAGGTGGAGGAAAATCTGTGCGAAGATTTGCAGTGTATTGGGAGCAAATAGTGTTAGAGCAAAACACCACTCTGTGTCTAGAATTGTAAGGCAACTCGAAGGATCAAACTTATTGTTCATTTCTGCTTCTAGACTTTTCAAATCCAGATCGCCTAAGCTGAGCTCAGTTGTGCATTCATAGCATGAAAGCATTAAGGTAGACACAGACAGACAAAATAAGCTCCAAGTGTCAGCTCACAGACCAAGCACTGAGCAACTGGGCTAAAGCTAGAGACAGCAACCAGACCTAACCCCTCTCTCTCCGGCCCACTAGATCCTGATGTCAGAGCCCGGCAAGCTGTTGCAGAAAGTGAAGGTGTGGCTGCAGGAGTACTGGAATGTCACAGACCTCATAGCCATCCTTCTGTTCTCAGTCGGAATGATCCTGCGTCTTCAAGACCAGCCCTTCAGGAGTGACGGGAGAGTCATCTATTGTGTGAACATCATTTATTGGTACATCCGTTTACTAGACATCTTCGGCGTGAACAAGTATCTGGGCCCATATGTAATGATGATTGGAAAAATGGTAAGCAGGGTCCTCGGATTGCATGGTATAAGTTCTTAGAGAAGGAGTAGTGATAATAGGAAGAGGGATGTAGTTTGTTTAGATCTTTTAACAAGGTTTACAGGAAATGGCGCTGGGGTGTCATTTTTTCAACTCCTTTTGAGTATTTGAGAGTTTGACTACATATGTATACAAAAACTAGGAAATTTAATCACCAGCCACCCATTGGCAAGCTGAAAAAATATATGAAGGTCATCTATTTTGTGCCAAGCCTGAGTTGGGTATAAAAAGAAAGAAAGAAAGAAAGAAAGAAAGAAAGAAAGAAAGAAAGAAAGAAAGAAAAGAAAAGAAAGAAAGAATTAATTAACATATAGTGTGAGAATTTGGCCAGAGATCTGTACAAGTGTAGAAAAAGCATAGGTTGGGAAAGCGTTCACATGAAGATAACACTGTAGCTGAGTGTTGGGGAGGAATGGGTGACCACCGCCATCACAATTTAAGTAGATTTTTAAAAGATTCTCTCTCTCATACTCTCTCTTTTTTTTTTTAGTAGTACTGGAGATTGAACCCATGGAACACCAAGCTACATCCCCAACCTTTTTTATTTTGAGACAGGGGCCTGCTAAGTTGCCCAGCCTGGCCTCAAACTTCCCATCCTCCTGCCTCAGCCTCCTGAGTAGCTCAGATCACAAGGGTGTGCCACTATGCCCAGATTTAAAAGATACGCTTTTTTTAAAAAAGAGAAGTTTTAGAAAGTGCCTCTCCCTATACAAAAGGAATGCAAATATAGTTTATTTCAGTTGAGCTGAGTTTGAATTGGACATTATGCATCATGTGTTTTGTGACACTGATGGAAAATTTTGTTTGTTAAAACTAGATTCTGGAATGATATACCTACTTAATCTAATTTTTTTAAAAAAGAACCCCATATGCTTCCATACCAGTGGCCAAGGCCTTGTTCCAATACTCCTTGACCACAAACCAGCTTCCAGATTTTTTTCATGAAGATTGAGCCCTAGGGAGACATCGGTGGTGGTGCATGAGTAACTCAGCTCCTGCCTCACCCTTACTAGAGAAAGAATCGGAGCCTGCAGGGACACTCACCAGTTCCCCCCTTCTCTAAGTGTGTTGCCTACTTCACCTTTCCAGGCATACTTGGGGGAACTTAGTCCATCCGCCCTGTGCAGACAAATGCCTCTCAAGGAAAAATCTCTTTGCTGGTCATCTTCACTTCCATTGTATGAGCTGCTGAAACCAGCAAGTGTTCAGCAGATCCCTCCTTCAGCATCGCCAAGTTTTACTATCATACCTCGTTGATAAATCAGTATCTATGAAACACCTGTTCCTAACCCTACTAAAATCAATCTTTTTTCACTTTTTAAAATTGGTTATACAGATGAATAGGTTTCATTTTGGCAGATTCCTGCATATAGAGAGCATGCTTTGACAATTTTCACTCCCATCCCTCCCCTCCCCCCAATTTCTCATTTAGGGGGGTTGGTGTGTATGATGTATTTATATAATATGTCCACACCCCCACCACCCATCTTTATGCCCCCTTGAAATGAATCTCAAGTACCCAGAACTTTTCCAACAAAAGCTGGGACAAACTCATGTACAGAGGAAGAATTCAAATTCAAATGAATTGGAGTCCTTGAGTGATTCACTTAACCTCTCTCAGATTCAATTTACTCATTTCTAAAGTATTAATGAACAATAAGTGTGTATCTTGTGATGGTTAGAAATAACACATGTTTAACGGTGAAGTGTCTGGCTCACAGTTTGGTAGTTGATAAATTATATCTGTTATCACTGTGTTTACATTGTTTTTTAAAGTACAAGGAAGAAAAATTGATGAGCACAGTTATTCTGCTTTATACACAACCCTTTTGAACACCACCTTGGTATTTATAATGCCAACATTATTTAGAGCAAATATCACCAAACCTATTCTAGAGAGGGAGAACTTGAATTCTCAAGTTTGAGTTACTTACTCAAAACTGAACCCCAGTTCAACAGGCATTTTTCAACCAGGAAAAAGATGTGTATATTACTTTATTGTTCTATGTGCTGTATCATCTTTGTACTTTAACAGTGCATCTGAGATTGTAGTGAAAATCTCTGTATCTAAAGACAGAGTCTATGGATGGGGCTTAGGAGAGAGACCCTCCCCCAGTCTATGTATGAAAGAGCAAGACGTTTCTGGGTACAGAGGTCAAGCTTTTATGAAATCATCAAATGTATTCTCAAGTGGACCCAGTGAAAACAAAGAACACTCTCAGCTGTAAAATCAGACCAAGTTTTCTTAACCTTTACCGGGAGCTCTTCAGACCCCGGAATACCTGAGGGAGGAAGAAAGGAAATAAAGGAAAGAGACAGACACAATATTCAGTTTGCTTGCGATGGGGGACCAGGAGGAATATGTCTCTAGGGGGCAGGCTTCAGGAACTCCACAGGGGCCCACCTTTATTTAGTCAGCGAGGGGCACAGGGGAAGCACTTTTTTAGGAATGAGGACTGCAGTAAGATTAGAATAGCCAGATAGCGATCAAGTTTAGCATCTCAAAGGGGACAAGTTAAAGTCCTATTTTTCATTGTCCCCTAGTAGGCCTTATCTCTGCCTCAGTGTGCTGTGATCAGGGCTTTTGCACTCAGCCAGGAAGTCTGCCATCTTTTGCATACTTCTCTGTTGCGAGGACAGTGACCTCGGGACCAAGCAGCCTGTTTCCTGGCCCCCACCAGCCTATACAGGTCACGGCTGGTCTCCAAGGAACCTTGACACTTTTGCTATGTGAGGATGGGTAATTATTTCAGGGCATGTTTTGTGCATCACAGGATTCTCAGCAGCATCCTCAGCCTCTGCTCACTAGAGAGCAGTAGTGCCTTTGTATGCACACACACACACACACACACACACGCACACACACACACAGGCATAACAACAAAAATGTCTCCAAACGTTGCCAGATTCCCTTCAGTGACAAAACTGCCCTCTGTTAAGAACTACTGCATTAGGGGATTTTTAACTTGCTTGGTTGTTTTTTTTGATTGTTACCGTAGTGTATTTTAACAAAATCTCCAAAGGCCCAAAGAAACCAAATGTGCTACCTTTAATAGGCTAAGTGGAGCCAGATGTGGTGATGCACAGCTGTAATCCCAGATATTCTGGAGGCTAAGGCAGGAGGATCACAAGTTTGAAGTCAGGTTGGGCAACGTAGCAAGATTCTGTCTCAAAATAAAAAATAAAAAGGGACAGGAATGTAGCTCAGCAATGCTAGTGTTCAATCCTCTTACTGCGAAAGAAAGAAAGAAAGGAAAGAAAGAAAGAAAGAAAGAAAAAAAGAAAGAAAGAAAGAAAGAAAGAAAGAAAGAAAGAAAGAAAGAAAGAGAGAAAGAAAAGAAAACCTGGGCATGCTGGCATATGCCCCAACGTTCAGGAGACTGAAGCAGGATGAGAAGAATCAAGAGTTTAGGCCAGCCTGGGGTACATGGAGAGATCTGGTCTCAAAAAAAAAGGTGGCACTTGAATACTTGAAATAACTAAAAGCACACTAATGCAGCAAGATTATCTTAAAATCCAAGTCTATCATTTTAATAACGGAATAATTATCCCACTTTTGACGAGAATGAAACCTTACTAAGGGGCCAGCAGAAGGGGTGCTCTTCATTTCCTCTACCTTCTAACTTATGAATGACTGCATTTATCAGTGGCAAATAAGCATGACATGAGGACTTTTAGGGACTGTGCTTCTCCTTCACGAGGCTTGTAAGATAATTAGTTCAGAAATACGAGTTAGATAATGGGAAGTAGGAAGGCAGATCTTTCTCAAGTGGGAAGGAGACCAAGAGATGGAGGGAGGGAGGGAAAGAAGGAAAAGCAAAGAAAGGAAAAAGGCACCCACCCAGGAGGGAGGCTAAAAAGAATTCAAATGCGTTGTGTGCTGGTGCTGGCTCCCCATGCTGAGTGTAATTATTATGTACTGCAAACATGTCCTAATGAAAATAAAAGTTTAAGAAAAGAAGAATTGAAACAAGAAATGAGATAATTAGTTCAATAATTGAGCCATTGATCCAGAATGCGGATAAAATATGCCCGTAGAATTTATCAGTGAGCCCAATGAACTGCCAGGCTGGAAGCTTAACAAGATAACCCAGATGCAATTGTACGGAAAGTTCCTTTTCAGGACTAAACAGCCAGGTAATCACTGTGCCCTGGATGACCAGGCATCCACTTTGCACTACTTCATGTGTCTTTGCATTGTGTGAGAAGCCAGCATGCACGTACCTAATGGCATGGGAAACCTGCATCTCCAGTGATTTCCAATTGATCTACAGGCCCAGGGTCACTAGCAGTCCTGACTCTTCCTTCACATTCTCCTTCTCAAGGGAATTCTCTAAGCCTCATTACTGTTAGGCTCGCTTGTCTAATGCAGAATAAAAACAACAATGGAAGCTCTCATTTACAATGTGCCAGGCACCATGGGGTGTTTTGTTTTGTTTTCTAAGACAAGGTCCCATGTAGTTTAGTCTGGCCTTGAACTCACAGTGATCTTCCTGTTTCAGCTTCCTGAGTGCTGGGATCACAGGCCTGCACCACCTTGCCTGGCATAGCCAGGTACCATGTGAAACACACACTTATTGTTATAACCCAAGAAGTAGATTTTAGTCTCTTCATTCAACTGAATGAGCTGAGACTCGGGGATGGACAGTGGTAGGATCGGGTTCCTGACTCCGAGGCCTGACCTCCTTCCAAGTCTAATAATGATACGCTAATGTGGACTGAGAAAGTGGTGCATTAAGCACTCACATAGTGTCACGATTAATCTTTGTAAAAATAATACACATTATTATTATCTCTATTTTAAAAATTAAAAAAGAATAAGCAATTTTCCCCAGGTCACTTAGCTATCCTTCCTTTTCTTTTTTAAATTTTTAATGGGGGGAGGGGGTCAGGAAAACTTTTATTTTCTTTTTTTTTTATGTAGCTATTTTTACTGGCAAAGCAAAGATGAAAACCAGGCTATCTGACCTCTGGGAACACACGCTTAATCGCTGCTGTATATACTCTCCCCTGTGGAACACCTGGAAAGATCAAGAATGGGAAGAATCTTATTGAACCAACTGGATAATTTAGCTTTAAAACAAAGGGAACCAGCCTTTGTTCTCACTAATAATGCCCAAATTCTGATATTGGAATAGAAGTGAAGACTTTGAAATATATGAAGCTAAGCAGGTGGGAAGAATGTTCTTCTCTTTGATTGTTTTGACCCTGTGGATAGATAACGGAATGAATTTGAATGACAACAATAGTGGGAAATTAAATTAGCACAGTTTCTGTATTTACTAGCTGAATTTCTTGGTTCAATCTCATGAGGACACACCTTCCTCTCCCACTCCTATTTTAATCAATGTAAGTAAACATAATATGAAAGGCCCATGTGTGCTTTCTCACTGATAGAACCTTTTTGTAAATAAATTATGAAAGAATTTTACAAAATAAAAAAGAGATCAGGGATGAAAACTAGACCCGTATTTCCTGTAAAACCTCTTCCACACAGCCAGCTTGCTCACTGAGAGAGAGTTCTGAGACCACTAAACTAAAAGGAATAACGAAGCAGAAGAGTAAGAATGAATATCAAATCTGGAGAGATTCCTATTTGGTTTCAAAGTCATATGATACTTGGGATGATGAATTTTGAAGCTGTCTCAAAAACTCATTAACTGACCTAAAATGTATTGAGACTCCAGTGTCCCAAGGTATGCAGGAAGACTGTAATGTTTGAATTCCAACAACAGGAACCACGGAATATACTCTTTTAAAACAACGTTTTAAACTAATTCGGAGGACTAGAGGTGTATGTAGCTCAGTGGTAAAACATGTGCTTAGCATGTAGTAGTCCCTGGGTTCAATCCCCTGCACTAACAACAGACAAACTCCCTGAAACACTGACTTGGAGACTTCATTATCATTAATAAAATTGCTGCTCGTCATTCTTTGTAGATGGGCATTCCTTCTGGACATATGGTATCCAAGAGAAGGTAGTGTTCATATCACATACTTTGATCCAAGGGGTAGGAACCAGTCAGTCTCCAACTGGCTTAACCCCTAGAGATAGGCAGACTTATAAAAGGACGGGAAGAAACTACAAGCAGGGACTCAGCCAGTGCCAACATTGGCTCTCTTTCTCTTGCATATCTGCTTCATTTAGATCAGCTTCCCTGGAGGGAAATTCAGCCTCAGACACAATGAATGTACAACATTTTGAAGAAGGAAAGGGAACTTCTGTCTCCCACAGCTTCAGTTAAAGAAAAAGGATCTCCCTGGCCTGTCTCTTGTCACATACTTACCTCTCATCACTGTTTCCAGGGGGTGAGCTACCACCATGAACCTAGCCTGGAAAACACACCTACTTTATGGCCAAATGGGTGGGAACTGTTTCTAAAAGAAGGTACAGTAATGGCTTCTGGCCGGGCAACATCAATAGTTTCTGCAGACTCTTCTTGGGTGATAAAAGGAAAGCAATTTGGCATATGAGAAATAGATCCAAAAATACCATGGAAACAAACAAGGAAAAAAAGAGAAAGATGAACAAGATTGTTACTAGAATGAATTTAGGAGAATTTTATAGACATGTCAAGGAGGAAATCCTTCATTCCAACAGCAGGGACAGGTACAGATCATCAGGTTACGTGGTTCTAATGTTTCAGAAAACACTGGCCCTCACCTACAGGACATCCTGCAGAAGTATAAAAAGCATGGTTTTCTGGGTAGGCTGGTTTGTAGCAGAATATCATGCAATAGGATGATGTCACAAAAATAAGAATATGAGGTATATTTGGTTTGTCCGAGCTTTCTTTATCAGAAATTATTTTCTTGTTCTTTCCAGCTCTTCATTCACCTTTCAGAAATGAGAAAGGGAGGGCCAGGGATTTAGCTCAGTGGTTCTGGCGCCTGCCTCACAAGCTCAAGGTCCTGAGTTTGATCCCTGGTACTAAAAAAAAAAAATGAGAAAGGGAATTTACTCCACTGCATTAGTTCTTGAAAAAACATCAACTATCTGAATTCCAATTTTAATTGGAATTTAATTGCTTTTACCAATAGTAGATAAAAAGTTCACACTGTAATTCACTTAGAGATCCAAGCATCTGTGTTATGACTTCCATGCCTATGTCCCACAGACAGTAATGAAACATGAAGGGGCTCCACTGTGTGTGCACTTTTTAAAAAAAATAAATCTTTTGAGTTTACTAATAAGATTATACAGACATTGACTTTAATAGACCAAGAATCCTCTTATCTGGACACATTTCCCTATCTAAACATCTCTTAGCAGTCTAGAAAATGGACTTCCTTTGGAGGTTTCCACCAATATCAGCCTTCACAGGAACACGCAGTCACATAGGTTTCCTTTTGTTTCTCCCACTGCTTCTCCACCCTTCCAGATGATAGACATGATGTACTTTGTCATCATCATGCTGGTGGTGCTGATGAGCTTTGGAGTCGCCCGGCAAGCCATCCTCTTTCCCAACGAGGAGCCATCATGGAAACTGGCCAAGAACATCTTCTACATGCCCTACTGGATGATTTATGGGGAAGTGTTTGCAGACCAGATAGACCGTAAGCAAGTTTATGATTCTCATACACCAAAGTCAGGTATTTAACTTCAATTGGGTCATGTCTTTTCCAAGTTCATTTGTTTGTTCTCAATAAATGGCTCAAGATAGAGGACTGATTCCTAGCTTGCTATCTCAGCGGAAAAAAAATTACAGAAGGTGAACATATAATTTTAGCAAAGTAATTCTTGGGTGTATCTTCAGCTATGCCTTTCTGTGACACAAATTGACATCTGGTATGCCAAATTTGATCCAAAAATGAACCATTTTAAAAGATCTAAATTTTTTTGTGAATCAAAATCCTAGGCCCATGTGTTGGACGTTTTAGTATGAGAAATATATCATGTCACAACTCCCCACTGTTACTCTGGCCCAGAGCCGCTAGAAAATTCCTTGAGTTTGACTTTGTAACAAATAAACAATTTTCAATTTTACCGTCAGAATTCAAGAGTTAAGGGCAAACATCTGTATGATATTTTCTTTGCACTGGAAACTATTCTCCAATTCCCTTTCCCACTGTCTTGAATTATGTGCTGTTGAGACTCATAGGAAGGTAGTATTCATTGCCTGGAAGTATGGAAAATGCCTTAGGTCATAGACTGAGTTACTTGCCATGAACACTAGGAAAGAAAATCATATCTATATCGTGAAGTATTTAAGTATGGGGACTGAGCGCCAGCAGGCCCCCATTCAGGCCCATTTATCCAAGTTGTAATAGACAATGATTCTCTAAGTTAAACACTCCTTTTGAGTGGAATTTGAAGATAGTTGTAGCCTGGGAGTCTGTTCCAGGATTTTATTTGGACCAAATGTCAGAGCACACCAGGCATTGGGAAATTACTTGGGAAGAAAGCTTTAGGAAAGAAACAGCTTTCAGTATGGAGGAGTTGAATCCCTGGGGCAACTATTTCTCATTTTCCCTGAGGAGTTTAGCTCTGGAAATAATAGGCCCCCAACATTGTTGAATTAACATTTTTCATACATTTTTTGCTGACAGGCCAGCCATCTGAGCCCTGGACTGTGGACATGGCTCAGGGTTACATAACCAGGTAGTATATAGTTCATTAACAGCAGGCGCAGAGACTACTCAGCATCCCTTGCCCCTGCCATCCCAAGCATGACTGAGCCCCAGAAGGCAAAGACAAAGCACCAGATGAGAGTCCTCAGGCCTGCAAAGGGCTGTGTCTCCTGGCAACAGAACACACAACACATCATCTTCCCCTCCATGAGGGATTTTAAACAAATACCCTTTCCTACTCCAGATGTATTATCTGAGGCAAGCAAGACTTTTTAGAACTCTTAATTGGAAGAAATATTTGCATCTTGCAAGTTGGTCAACTCATTGGGAAGGAATTTCAACTCTTTCCCTTGTGTTTTTTTTGGGGGGGGGCTCTAACTTGCAGTCCTCCTGCCTCAGCCACCTAGTGTGCTGAGATTACAGATGTAGGCTCCCATGCCCAGCTCTTCCCCTGGTTATAATGTCTTTGATGACAATGTGCAGCCTTCACCGAGATAGCTGCCCAGAGATGGGAAAATCCTTTTTGAGAGCCTCCCAGTCAAAGGATCCCTAAAGGCAAACCAAAGCTTAAAAGCCCACCTACCATTCTCCTCAGAGACTACATGTGCTATTTCCCCCTGGAAATTGCTTTTCCACTTAGTTTCATAATTTTGCCTCTCCAAGCTTTCCTTTCTTCCTTCCCCAAAACAAGATGAAGCCCCCGTGATTTTTTTGACAATGTAAGATGGGAGAAGGGAGGTTTTATAAATGGGATTCTGTCTGTCCCTCTACGAGTGGCCATTTATTGATGTTGTACTATGAACCAAGCCTAGTGCAACAAACACCACCATCTCACCGAAGCGGAGGATTTATTATTGCTATTTTCAAAGAAGGGCTGATTGTAGTTTAGAACTTGAAAACCCCCGCCCCCCGAGACAGAAGAGAAGTGTCTTGTGTGAGTGAAGTACGAAAATAGATTCCCACCCTGTGAATTAGATCTGTGATGCTCTATGCGTGTGAGAACAAATTTCTACCCCAAATCCCCATCTGTCACTGACCCAGCCCTGGAATGGATGCAGCCTTTCCGAGGCCCTTCCCCCACCCTCTTCCCTTCCCTGTGACCTTCTGAGACTGGCTGCAGCAGTAGCCACCGTTCTAAGCTAAATCAGCCAGTTTTCTGTCTAGAGTGCTGAAGAGTATTGGTCCTTTCTCAAATGGATATAGAAGGCCAGCCCCAAATCTGTCATGATATTTGGCCATGATCACTGGACATCCCTGTCCTCTAAATGATTTGATGCTCATACCATAGCCCTCAGTGGCCCCCATCTAGACTGGATGACTGCCCCACCTGGTTTTCAGAACTGCCCGGGGGCCCTAAGTATGAAGCTGTTTGAGAAAGGTACAAACCACTTATGCTGCCTTCTGGTGTCCTGCCTCTTCTCTGTGCCGTGCTCAGGTTGGTGTGTGAAGCATGTATTCAGGCTGATGGGATCTCATATCCACCTGGACCCACAGCCCTCCTCAGGGTCTACCAGTCCCATCCTGTGGATGTACCCTGTCTGGGTTTCTCCAAGTGCTGCTTATCAAACACATCTTCTCAGAGTGACTCATTCCTAACGTGCACGTGCTCCATAGCTAACTCTTTTTGTTTTTGACTTCAGAATTGCTAGACCTATTTCATGTGTGGGGGAATAATTTTTCTTACTCAGAATGCACAATGGGGTCCTTGGGATGTGTTCTTAAAACCAATGTTATACCTCAGAAGGGAGGACAGCTTTAACGTCCTCACTTCTGGGAGGCAGTGTTACCTAAGATTTTTAATGTACATTTCATCTTTTTTCCTGACATTTGCCCCAAACACAAAAACTACCAATAAGATCAAAGATCCTAGAAGGAGATATGTAAGGTTACTTTCCAAATGTGCTTAAAAGCTAAACTCAAAAGAAAAAAGAATGGAGTCACATAAAATCACAAAATAAGCCCTTTTCTCCTTTAAGGCAAGTTGGACTAACATAAATAATAGTCTACCTTTAATCTAAATTATCTGTGGAGGTTAAAATATTCGCCTCAGTGTTGGAAGCAGAGTGTGTGAACGTGGGCTGGGGATTTAGCTCAGTGGTTCCACTGCCTGCCTCGCAAGCAGAAGGACCGGAGTTTGATCCCTGGTACCAAAAAAAAAAAAAAAAAGAATTCGGAGTATGTGAATGTGATTGGAAGCAGAAGATAATAAAGGTGGGGACAGGATAGTGAAAGCCTGCTGTCCTCTGACTACTGTGCCTAGCACTGATTTAATTCATGGGAACTGAATTCGCTGTTCTTACTTGGTTGGTTGGTATCTGCTTTTAATTTGGTTCAAATAGCCCAAAATTATTTTCGGGTTCTTATGCTGTATATAATATTAGCTCTCTAAGACCCAATTGAGGCCTATGGTGACGTGACTTGGCCTCCAGGCTGTTAAATACACTAATCCCACATGATGACATTCTCTGGGCAGCTTCATTAGAGTGACTAGTGTTGCACAGCCTCTGACAGCCAGTCAGGTTTCCACTGGAGCTCAAGGGGAAAAGTCACTTAGAGCAGAGGAGCAGCAGAATAAATTTGGTAGCCATGGCAGAGCTGGAGCAGAGTTAAAATCAGCTGGATTCTCACCAACTTAGAAATCTGGTTCTGTGGTTTGGTGCCTGGAAGAGCACCTATGGTGGCAGAGAAAGTGGGTGCGTGGCTTTCTACAGCGTCTGAATGAAAGAGGATTCTATTTATTTACAGGGCATATCCATGTGCTGCCTGCTGTATATTCAGAGTCTCCAGGCTTTACCAAGGCAGGAGGAAAATGAATCATGCTGTTGAATGCATTAAATGAGGATCTAAATTTAGTCCCTCTTTCTGCCTCTCTGAGTATTTTTACAAGTTTAGATAGTACTGTGAAAGCGCACTGTCCAAAACTTACTTTCTACCATGACAACTTAATGTTATCTAGCCATTTCTGTTCTCTCCAAATTAACTATCCAATCTATCTCAAGCATAGGACAGGGTTTTTTGTTTTTTGGGGTTTTTTTTTTCTTTTTCTTAATACCTAGGGCTTTTCCATCTGAAATTAATAGGTAATCTGGGCTAGTAGGGATTTTCTGTTTTGCTTTGATTGACTGGTTGATTTAGTACAAAGATTTAGTATAAAAACTTTGGTATCAGTGTTGCCACTGTGGTGGCGACAGGAAACAAGGATTGTGTATGTGCATGTAAAGCTAACACACTCTTGAATTACTTTTCGGTTTCGAATTAATTGTCCCTCACTGTAGGTGTAGAAATTAGGACAGCTCAAGGAGCCAGCCTCTAAAATGTGCCTGCTTAAGGTGACGCTTCAACAGCAGAGCAGAGAAGATGGCAATTGTTATGCACTTCGATTGTTGGACTCCAGCTCTGGAAACTCAGGGCTGCGCATCTGTTTAGTATTCCAGGCTGACTTTCCCTAATGGATTTGGAGTACACTAATGCCTAACAGCTATAGCGTGGGGAATGCTGCCTGGGCAAAGAAAGTATTCTGGAAAAGAAAAACTTGAGTCAGTGCCAACTTTGGGGCAAGAGGAGAATTGTTTTTTGGGGAGTTGTTTTGTTTTCACAAACTGCTAAGGAAGCAAGCCGGTATCGAGCGCCATTGTCCCTATTTTCTGTCCCTGAAAGTCAGCTCACATTATAGGAGCTACCCACCTGACTTGTTTGCTAATGCAAACTGAGACTTACTGAATTTACGAATAACAAAGCTCTCTGCAACAGGCCTTTGTGATGATTCAGTACATTGTTGTGATCAACATTTGTTCCGCTGTTATAATATTCACTTAACATCTATGCACAAGTAGGACTCCATTTTTATTTATTCTTCATTTGGTAGATTTTTATTTTGCTGCTACTGTGAGCTGTAAGCCAATGTACAGATGCACATGACAGAGATATCGTCTTCAAGGAGTTTACAGTCCAAGAGAAGCAAAGAGACATTGACAATTTACGTTAGAGATAAAGCCTAAAGAAGAAAGCAATCAGTTTCACCT